CCTAACTCATAGCATCCCCATGTGACTGAAGATAACAGACTTTCCTAGACTGACCTTTATGAACAGATGATCAGGGCATTCTTCCATGGAGCCACTGGGTGGGTTCAAACTGCCAACCTTTCTGTTAACAGCCAAGTGCTTAAACATTTGCACCACCAGGACTCCCTTACAGACCACGTGTCATCATCAATTTTTGTAGGTATACTAACGAAATGGATCTGTGACTTAAATTCAAATGAAGAATACATACATACAAAGTACATAAAGGCAAATGTGGCAAAATATTAACTCTTGAGTCCCTCTAGACCAGTGGTGGGGAATGTCTGGCCCGCAGGCCACATGGGGCCAGCGAAATCATTTGGTCTAGCCCTGCCAAGGCAACTGCAGCTCCAGCCAGCTCATTAAGAACTAATTAAATGTTTGACCAAATATAGCAGGCTAATTTTTAAATTGATAATTTTGTATGACCCGCGAATGATGTTATAAATTTCCAAATGGATCTAGGCAGAAAAAAGTTTCCCCATTTCTGTTCTAGACGCTCCTGTTGCTGTAAAGTGCCATCAAGTCAATTCGGACGCTTAGCGACCCTGTATAAGGTTTCAGAGGAGCAGCTGGTGGGTTTGAACCACCGACCTTGAGGCTCAAACTGACCTTGTGGTCCAGTGAGTTATCCTGCAATGGCACACCAAGACTCCTAAAGGCTCCTAGCCTTGCTCGAAACCAGTGTTGCTTCAACTTTTTGGATCACATTTCTTTTGGGGGAGGGGTATTTGAGTATGTACATACACCCAGAAGTCTTCCTATTTGTTTAGCGTATATGTTTCTAAAGCCATGTGCCATTTACCAGTAAGTGGCATACATTGTTAAGTGCCTTTGGGTCCGTTTCTATATAGCAACCCTGCATGAGGTTGCCAAGGAGTGGCTGGGGGTTTAGAGCTACCAATCTTGTCATTGTTTATCCTATAGTGCCTACAGTGCCACACTAGGACCCTGTGGTGTACATCATGAAGCACAAAATAACCGGATGCACCCCCTCCCCTGAGAACACGCAGTCCACTTGGGTACTCAATGGTATAAACTGTTCAGAGCACTTCCAGCCCCAGCTGACTTCACAAGTCACTGGGGGTCAGCAGGACATGGGTCTATTCTATAGATGAGCCTCCCCTGAGGCTCAGGGAGGTTATGTGACAATCCCTTCAACCATTAGGCAGCTGCTACGTGCCAGGTACTGTCCTAGGTACCGGTGAACAAATGGTCTAGAGAGTGTCTTACTAGGGTGTTCACAATCTGATGGGGTGGAAAGACTCTCAACAGATTCTTTCAAACCGATGTGGCAAGTGCCATAGAAAAGTCATACCCTGGGGGCTATGTGGACTCATAATCCACCCTGGAGTGCTGGGAGGGGTCAGGGAAGGCGTTCTTGAGCACAAGACAACGGCACAGCCTTGTGGGTAACAAGGAGGACAAATCAGGATGAGGTGGGGAACAGCACCGCATGGCATGGTCAGAGCAGGAACAGACTGACAATTGATGTTGTCTGGCACTCCTGGCAGGTGGGCTAGAAAAATAAGGTAAGGGACATAGAACCGCTGGTCCAGGTACCAGAGCTGGGCCTGGAATGCCCACAGGGCCAGTACTGAGGGGTCAGATTTCATGAATCAGTTGAGAGAACCACCAAGTGCCAACTCCATGCCAGTCTGTGCTGGCCACTTGTTGTGTATTATTAGCCACATCTTAAGATGGTTTGAGTAACTTGTCCAAACACACACAGAAGACCCGTCTCTTTTCAGCTATCCCTCTAGAGTTCACGTGGAGGTGGGGAGCCGAGAGGCCCCTATATGGCAGAGCTAGGAGCTGATCCGAAGCCTCCCAACCCAGTTTGGGGTAATCTGTGGCCCATCCCTCGTGATGCCCCTTGAGGGACGGGGAGAAGGGGTGCGTGCAGCTCCTGTCCGTCGGGGCGGCCGCAGCACGGCTTGGCAGCTACCCAGAATCGGAGGAGGAGGGCGCCGGTGTCTGCAGCCTAGAGGGATGGGAGGCGCGCCCGGGCGGCACTGGACAGGGAGTGTGCGGGATGGCTCCTCCCCGTGGAAAACAAGCCCTGCCCGCCTGCCGCCGGAGGTCTGGGCGCCAAGTGCCTCAGCCTGTTCCGGGGGGCGGGCCGGCGGTGGCGGCCAGGCTCCTGCCCTGACAGGTGCGCGCTGCGCAGGAATGCAGCCGGCCTGACTCACCAGCGCCTCCTGCCTACCTACCCACCCGCCTCCCTTAAAGCCGCCCGTCGGTCGCCCAGCCGCCTTCCCTCCCTCTCCGGACACTCGGCTCAGCGCTCCCCTGACAGCGGGAACCGCCGCCGGGGGCAGCTCAATCAAGGTAGGTGCATCCTGGTCCTTTGCACACACCTAGGACACCAGGCAGAGGACATTGGGGCGGGCAGGGGCACTCCAGGGCCCAGAAACAGGAAATGCTGGGTGCCCACCCAACACTGAGAGTTGGTGGGCAGTGCCCTTTTGTTTCCTCAGCTCTTCCCTTCCTGAAGGCTGGCAGGCCCTGCTCAGGGTAGGTGCCCAGTGTGCTAGGGTAGGCTGGGGACAACCAGGGACAGAGGGCAAGGAAAGTCAGAAATCCTGAGACTAGGGCAACCAGAGGGGACAGCAGGAAGAGGCTTGGGCATTGGATGAGTTGAGGAAGAAGTGGACAGAGGCTGGGCAGCTGGAAAGCTGGACCCTCTGGGGTTTGCAAAGATGAAGGAACAGCCTCTCAGCGAGGTGAATACCCCATCCCGCTTGGGAGGGACTCCTGAGGGCAGTATCACAGCCCACTTAGGGCGGGAGAGCTCCGGCTTTCCTCTGCAGAGGCTGAGCACACTGGAGTCCTTCCTCCAGGAAGTTCCCCTAACCTCTCCCACCAGACCTCGAGGCTGTACCCCCTCCCCAACTATCAGTCCAGGGTGGACCCTCACTAACCTGAGTGCAGTGCCCAGCGCCCAGCGAAGTGGTCATCACTGTCCCCAAGAGCGGGACATGCCGGCAAAGGATCTGCCCTGCGGCCACAAGGGAAAGCTGGAGGTGGTAGGGCAGTGGGGGAGGGTGTCTGCCTCTAGTTTCCTGTGGCAGCAGCCTGTGGGCCCAGGACCCCCAGCTTCTCATAGCAACTGACCCTGAAGGTGAGGACTTGGGACAGCAGAAGGGGGAGCTGTAACATGGTACTGTGGTGTCCTGAGTGAGGGTCCCGAGGAGTGAAGAAGGAGGGCTGGTATAGAGAAAGCCCAGTCTGTGTAATCCACTCACAGTGTGGCCTGGGTCCATGTGACCTGGGATGCCAGGTGGGGATTCATGTCCTGCAAACTCTGTCCATTCCACCTTGACCACACCTGCCCATAAGCCCACAACCCTTACTTTTATATAAAACCTCATCTTTTCTAACATTGGCAATTACTTTTAAAACACAATGTATGTCCAACAAGACACCCTTGTGCACATGTCTGGCCCCTCCCTGCCATTTTGTAGCATCAGGGAATTAGCTGGAGAGTAAATGGTGTGGCATTTTGGGGTTAAACACTGGGCCTCAAGGTCAATTTGAACTACAAGGTCAGCTGTTCAAACTCACCAGCCGCTCCTTGGAAACCCTACACAGGGTTGCTATTAGTCAGAACCGACTCACTGGGCACTTAACAACAACAAAGGGGGATTTGGGCTGCTGGGGGCCATCTGGGCTCTCCCACAACTGGCTGTGTGATTGGCAAGCCCCTTACTCTCTGGTGCTGCTGCGTCATGTGTGAAAGTGTTTGCACAGGTCCCTGCAGCCATCACATACGTGACATGTGAGGCACACTATCTATCCCTGAGTTGGGGTCCTTGTTTACTGTTGAGCCCGTGAGCCCGTGAGTCCAGCCTCTGGGCATGGGGAGGGCAGACCAGATCTGGGCTCTGCTCCAGAAGTATCTGTATGTGTAATGGTGCCCCAGGGGCCGAGTCTGCATTGTGTAGCATGTGGGTGTGGTGTCCACACCCCAGCCTTCAGAAAAATTATTTCCCCCAAGGAGCTGAGAAGCAGAGGCTCAGGGTACCTCTCCCATTGCCTTTGTTAACTGTGGGTCTGGTGGGACACTGGTTCCCAGCTGTGCTGAAATTGCCAATGACCCCCTCCGGTGACATGCTTTTAGGGGAAAAGGCAATATCCTCCTGGCCTCCAGCTGCAGACAGGTTTCCCCAGCGCTATGGGGCCTCTGCCCCAGGCCGTGGAACTGCTTCTGCCCCACAAACCGGGACTGAAAACAGCTTTAGAAGGGAGGCTAGTAAACCTAGTGAGGTCTTAGGCTACTGGGAGAGAGAGGCAGAGCCTTAACTTTTGCTTTCAGCTCTGAGGCCTCATGAAGCTGGCCAGTCCCTGCTCTCTGACTGCCTTAGGATGCCTGTGGCTGCCGAGAGTCTCACTGAGTTGAGATGGTTTGATAGTGAACCTACAGAGCTTGGGGCTCCTGGGGCCGCTGACTCAGTGAGCATGAGTGTGTGCAGGAAGGGGCTTGTAATCGCTCTGGGCTGCCTTTAGAGAGGAGGGGCCTGCTGGGAGAGTTCAGGGCCCCAGAAACTCCACTCTGGGGAAAGGAGGGAAGGCCGAGGATTCGGGCCCCACACTGGAGGGCTGGACAGAGAATAGCCTCCTCCCACCCCTCTGTTCCTGTCCAGCCTAACCCAGGCCGGTTGGGGTCTGAAAGGCAAAGGAAAATTAAGTCTGGCCTGCTTCAGGAGACCCCAAGGGAGAACTCAGCCTTAGGGCAAGCTCAAAGCCCACAGGCCTGCAGAACATCTTGCCACTCCAGAACGGCAGGTGAGAGGCAATGGGGGAACACAGCCCTATGGCTTTGATGATGTCACTAAAGCACTCATGTCGTCAGTTTCCACAGTTGCCCAGTGGTGTCCATCACCTCCTGCAGAGCTCTGAGGGATGGACCAGGGCCACAGGGCATCATCCATGGACTATTCTGTTACAGGAGGAAGAGGATGGGAGGGCCATGCCCCAGCCCGTGGACCAGGCTACTGCTGGCAGCCCTGCTAAGTGTCAGCTTCTCCGGTCACATGGGTGAGTGAGGCAGGGTGTGGTCTTCTCACGGGGTCTCCCTGCACCCAGATAGTCACTCTGCCATTTGACAAGTGACCACTGTGTTCAGGGACTGGGGAGGAGCTTCAGGCTTTGGACTTGGCAGTCCTGGGTTGTGTGGCCTGAGAGAGGGAGATTCTGTGCAAAGAAGAGATGAGAGTCAGCACTAAGCAATCGCGGAAGTGCTGAGGCCTCAAGAAAATGTTAAAGGGATTTGAAGAGGTGATCCAATGTCTGCTCCCACGTCTCCAGTCAGCTGGTGTGGGACAGCTCCTACCCCTTGAATGTTGCTTACCAACTGAGGTCTTGAGAGCTTTAGCTAGAGCTTGGTAAGAATATTTACAGCAAGAAAATTGGCAAACACCATCAATCAGGATTCTCCACTGAATCCCCACCCAAGTCTTTTTTATTTTGTTTTTTTTTTCCTTTTTCTTTTCCTAGAGAAGGTTGTTCAAGTAACTTTTATCTTGCTGATTGAGTCCTCACTTGTGTTTGTTTCTTTTAATAATTTGTTGTACTTTTTGTTGTTGTTGAGACTATGCACAGCAAAATGTACTAATTCAACAGTTAGTTTGTAGATGTACAATTCAGTGATGTTGATGACATCCTGACTCCGTCTCTGAGTGATTCGTCCTTCCTTCACATACATTCACTACCCCTAGGAGTCCTGAAGTAGTGCTGTAGGATAATGCGCTGGACTGCAAGGTCAGCTTGAACCACAAGGTCGGCAATTCAAACCCACCAGCCGCTCCTTGAAAACCCTATACAGGGTCACTATGGGTTGGAACCAACTCAACAGCACCCAACAACAACGACAAAGGTTCCTATATCATCTTTAGAGTTGTGGTTGTCAATTTGAGTCCATATTGTTGTTGTTAAGTGCCGTGGAGTCGGTTTCAACTCATAGCGACCCGGTACAGGTCAGAGGCTGTAAATCCTTATGGGATCAGAAAGCCTCATCTTTCTCCCGCGTAACTGCTGGTAGTTTCGAACTGCTGACCTTGTGGTTTGCAGCCCGATTCATAACCACTACACTACCAGAGCTCCTTTGAGCCAATGTAGATAGATCTTAAAAGAGCATAATCATTTCTAGTTATTGACTAAGCACATTATTGCCTGGAGCCACTGGGAGCACATAGTAGGTCCAGATTGTATTTTTGACAGAGCAGAACCAACATGAATCCCAATAACCTTTGAGGGCCATGCTGGAGTTTTACCTCATTCATTTACTAAAGACCTACTGGGGGCCAGACTTTGTTCTAGGACTTGGGAACAAGTAACCATTTGCCATCAAATCCATTTCAACTTATGGTAACCCCATGTGTGTCAGAGTATAACTGTGCTCCGTGATATTTTCAATGCTGAGCCTTCAGAAGTTCTCCAGTTCTTCTGAGGCACCTGCTGTACTTTCTATTAGCAGCTTAACAACTTATACCACCAAGAGACAGGCTCAGGGAACACAGCCCCTGATTCTGGAGAGTCACGTGAGCTATGATGGGAAGTGATTGTGAACAGAGGGCAGGGCACAGTGGACACAGCTTGTCCCAGGTCTTGGGAAAGGTGGTGGAAACTTTCAAAGAGCTGAAGAGTTATCACACGAGGGTCAACCAGGGTTCCAGGAGGCAAATGAGCCAGCATATCTGTCCCAGTCCCCCATTTTCCCCTCTAGACTTGAGCAGAAGGTCACGTGTATGAGATCTAGCTCTGCTCTGTGTCTTCCTCTGTAGAATGGGGAGAGAATCCCACCTTTCATGAGCGGGGGGTACATAGGAAGGACATGGCCATTGCTCAGAGCCATCCCAATGTGTGTGCCGTCTCTGCCCCCAGCAAACCGCTGCAAGAAGGCCCAGGTGAAGACCTGTACCGAGTGCATCCGTGTGGACAAGGACTGCGCCTATTGTACTGATGAGGTGAGGGGACCACCTACTCATCCCCAAGTCTGCCCCAGTTTACACTTGCCACACCCTCAGCCCAGGCTTGGCCCAGGTGGGCGTGGGAGAACAGGCAAGAGTCCAAAACATTCCATTGGAAAGAAAACACAGAGGTTAGGACAGCCAGGGGCTGCTTCCTGCTGACCCAGTCTTCTTCCCACCAGATGTTCAAGGAGCGGCGATGCAACACCCAGGCGGAGCTGCTGGCCGCAGGCTGCCCACAAGAGAACATGATGGTCATGCAGAGTAGCTTTGAGATCACAGAGGTGCCCTGCCCGAGCATTGATGGGGGGATGGACTCTCCAAACCCAAGGTTTTGTCCCTTGGCTGGGATGAGAGGCCCCTCATGAGGCCAGCTGCTCCCCCGCCCCTGTTCACAGGAGACCCACATTGACACCACCCTGCGCCGCAGCCAGGTCTCCCCACAAGGGCTGCGGCTGCGGCTGCGGCCAGGCGAGGAGCAGCAATTCCAGTTGGAAGTATTTGAGCCCCTGGAGAGCCCTGTGGACCTTTACATCCTCATGGACTTCTCCAACTCCATGTCTGACGATCTGGCCAATCTCAAGCAGATGGGGCGGAACCTGGGTATGCTGGGCAGGTGTGGAAGACGGGGACCTCACTCAGCAGTCTGCCTGGGAGGCTGCACCCGCACCACCAGGAAAGACAGGAAGACTATTTCTTCAGGGTAGAGTCCTGGCCAGACCTGCCTGCCCTCTGCAGACATCAGGGAAGGCCCAGGGTGGTGGGCTTCAGAGTCCTCAGGACTCAACAAGGAGGGACCACCTTCATGAAATCTCAACTCGACAGACCTGGGCTCAGCTTCCTAGACTCCCAGCATGCTATCTGCATGACTCTGGGTCCCCCAAGTCCCATTTCTCTCACCTGTAAAAAGGGAAAAATGTTCTTGAGAACATGAACTGAGGGCCCGCCTGTAGAATGTTGGCAGTAAACTATTGTTCACTTCTTCCTCTTTCCCAAGCCTGCCCTGGGTCTTTGGTTTTTATTTCAGGGGTGGTGGTGAATATTGGGGCACAGTATTTCTGAGGTGCACAAGCAGTTAATCATTCAATTGCTAAGCACAAGGTTGGTGGTTCAAGTCCACCTAGAAGTAACCCAGAAGAAAGGTCTGGCAATCTGCTTCTCAAAAATCAGTCACTTAAAACTCTACAGGGCACAGCTCTACTCTGAACCACGTGGGGTAGCCATGACTTGGAACAGACTTGGAATGGCTACTGGGGTGGTGCTATTGGGTCAGTTGCCCCCTTTTTCCTGTGAATGTCCAGCCCAGGTCCTGAGTCAGCTCACCAGTGACTACACGATTGGATTTGGCAAGTTTGTGGACAAAGTCAGCGTCCCCCAGACAGACATGAGGCCTGAGAAGTAAGTGACACAGTAGGCCCCAGGTGGGCAGGGGTCCCGACTGTGTGGCTCCCACCTCCTCATTCACCAGCTCCCTGAAATTAGTCAAAGGGGCACTGGCCAGAGAGGGAGAAGGTACGGCAACAGGCACTGGGGTCTTGGAGTCTTTTCCCTACTAATGTGCTCTCGCTCCCTTCCCCCCTCCACCCAGGCTCAAGGAACCCTGGCCCAACAGTGATGCCCCCTTCTCCTTCAAGAACGTCATCAGCCTGACTGAAGATGTGGAGGAGTTTCGGAGTAAACTGCAGGGAGAACGCATCTCGGGCAACCTGGATGCTCCAGAAGGGGGCTTTGATGCCATCCTGCAGACAGCTGTATGCACGGTGAGTGCCCAGCGCCCTGAGCTGCTGCTAGCCTGCCCTGATGCCAGGCTCAGGGCCTCCCAAGGGGGCACCCAGGACAAACTCAGACCCTCTGGGTGGCTCTCAATTCTAATCCTGGTGTAGATGTGCTGGGAGCCAAGGTTTCCAGTCTGAGCAGTAACATTAGCCAGCAAGGCATACAAGGACTTTGAGGTTCCTGTGTCTTCTGTGTCCTGAGGCCAGCTGTCCTGCCATTCCTGTTCCTAATACCAGTCTCCCAAGACCTAGAAGTCACCCAGTCTTCAACTGTGCTGGCCAGCTGAAGAAAGCACTTCTTTTTAAGTGTGCTTTTTTTTTTTCCATTTTGAAACCAGTGCAACCATATTGCAGACAACTTCGAAAACAAAGAACAGAAGTTGCTCATCGTCCCACCACCATTAAACTGTCAATTTTATTTTCTTCTCCTCATGTCAGTATAGTGAGAATCAGTGTACTCTCACTTCTGAAACTTCCTTTTTCCCCACTGAACACCGGCATGAGCATTTGCTCTCGTAATCCATTGTTTCCAAAGGCACCACATACGTTTTCCTAACAAATCGGTCCTCGCTTATCTCATTATACAACATTTTGCATTTACAACAATAGTAGAAGATCTCTTATCCAACTCTCTGGCGTATTGATGATGTATGTCTGGCAGTAACGAGTGCCAAAGCGTGAGGCAAGAGTAAAGCAGGTTATAACAGTGACGTGTCAATGTAGCTGAGCCATAATTCCCAGTGGCTTGGCAGTTACGGAATGGTGTGATTTGGCAATTATGTAATGTTGTAATTTAGCAGTTATGGAATGATGTCATTTGACGGTTGTGGAATGATGTCATTTGACGTTTGTGGAATGATGTCATTTGACGTTTGTGGAATTATATCATTTGACAGATATGGAATGATGTCATTTGACCATTATGAAATGATGTCATTTGACCGTTATGGAATGATATCATTTGACTGTTATGGAATGATGTCATTTGACTCTTAGGGAATGATGTCATTTGACAGTTATAGAATGATGTTGTCACCCTCCACTTTGTGATATGACATCATCATCTCCATTTTTACATAATTTTTGCATCATGACCTGGTCTTTGGAACCTAACCAAGTGCGAAGAGGGTACACACCTCTATACTTAATTTAGCAAGCCTTTTTTCATTTAACATTGTATTGTGTACATTTTCCTATGCAGTGAAAATCTTCCTGCCTACTAGCTCCGAGCTTGAGTGAGAATCGAATGAACCTGGTTCAGATCTTCTGTGGGACCCTCTGTACCCACAGACCCTGCATTCTTTTCTCATCCCCTTCATTGGCTCATTGGCTAGTCTCTGGTTTCCATCATCATCCTTCTGATGTCATCATTTATGTTGGCGGCCTAGTGTTTACCCATTGGCCCGACCAAGCCCCCATAACATTGTGATGAATGTCCTTTGTATTCCTCCTTGCACTCTCCAGAAGGACATTGGCTGGCGCCCAGACAGCACCCATCTGTTGGTGTTCTCCACGGAATCTGCTTTCCACTATGAAGCTGATGGTGCCAACGTGTTGGCGGGCATCATGAGACGCAATGATGAGGAATGCCACTTGGATGCCACGGGCACCTACACCCAGTACAGGACACAGGACTACCCATCGGTGCCCACCCTGGTCCGCCTGCTCGCCAAGCACAACATCATCCCCATCTTTGCTGTCACCAACTACTCTTACAGCTACTATGAGGTAGGGAGGCGGGGCCTAGGGAGCTGCTCAGAAATCCGTCCTGCCCTCCCTCCTCCCTCCCTGCTGTAACAAAGATACAGACATGTACTCATTCACAGTTAGGAGGCTGCAAGTCCAAATTCAGGGTTAGGGCCCTACTGGAAGGCATTCTGTCTCCTAGCATTAGTCCTCAAGAGGTTGGTTTGAAGCGCAAAGTCAGCGGTTCAAACTCACCAGCTGCTCCTCGGAAACCCTATCCAGGGTAACTATGAATCGGGACTGACTTGACAGCATTTAACAACAACAACATAGTAGGAGTTCTGGTAGGATAAGCACTTGACTGCTAACCACAGGTCGGCGAGTCAAGCCCACTGGCTGAACCCTACACAGGGTCGCTATAAGTCAGAATGACTCAAGGGTATTTAAAAATAACCGTTTTTTTCAGCTTCTGTTTCTCTATTCCTTGACCGTTTGCATGTGAAGTGTGTCTTTCTCTATTTGTGCTTCCTTCTCTGTACCTAAGAAGTTCTGGTAGCGCAGTGGTTACGAATTAGACTACTAACTTCAAGGTCAGCAGCTTGAAGGTACCAGCTGTTCTGCGGGAGAATGATGACCCTTTCTGCTTCTGTAAAGATTTCCAGCCTTGGAAACCTTGTATAGGGGTCACTATGAGTCAGAACCGACTCCACAGCACATAACCACCACCACTCTCTGTACTTAAATGGTCCCTTTTTACATCTCAAAAGTGATTGGCTTTAAACACATCCTGCACTGATTTGGCTTTATTAAAGTTGCAAAGAAAACGCATTCCCAGATGGAATTATATCCATTTACATAGAGTGAAACTAGACTGCGAACCACAAGGTCTACAGTTTAATCCCAACAGCTGCTCCTCGGAAACCCTATACAGGGTCACTATGAGTTGAAACCAACTTCCACTGCACTTAACAAATACAGGGTGAAGGCAACAATGTGACAATTAACAATATAACAATATAGGGTAACAGCAACAATGGACTCAAATGTAACAATTGTGAGAGTGGAGCAGGACTGGGCAGGGCTTTATTCTGTTGTGCTACTGTTGCTATAGCAACCCTTGTAGGTTTTTTGAGGAGCAGCTGGTGGATTTGAACCGTCGACCTTTCAGTTCAAACCAACCTTTCAGTCCAGTGCTTATCCTACAGTGCCACATGAGGAGTCCATAACAACAATGTGTTTGTTGGTAAGTGCTGTCAAGTCGCTTCCATAGCGACCCTGAACAGGATTTCCAAGGAGTGGCTAGTGGGTTTGAACCACTGACCTTGTGCTTCAAACTGACCTTTCAGTCCAGTGCTTATTCTACAGCACCACACCAGGATTTGGGATTAGGATTTGCAACACGTATTCTTGGGGGAGACAGTCTACAAAGAAAGCTTTTGTGTTTTCCTGAGAGTGGGCCCTGGTGGGAGGGAGGTCATATGCCTGTCCCGGACGGAGCCTAGCTCCCAAGCCAGTGGGAGCTAGATGAGCAGGACCCAGGCAGGTTCCAGTCCTAAATTTCCCATCTGCAAAATGAGGACAACTCTGGGTCACGTAAGTGACTTCAATGAGGTGATGCCTGTGCACGTCTGAGTCAGGCCTGGCCTTCCTCTCCACAGAAGCTGCATTCATACTTTCCCGTGTCCTCGCTGGGGGTGCTGCAGGAGGACTCATCCAACATCGTGGAACTGCTGGAGGAGGCCTTCAACGTGAGGGCTGAGTCCTTGTGAGGCGGGACTGAGCGGCGGAGTGGCTAAGGGCTGTCTCAGGGGCAGGCCATCCCTGAGAAAGCAGTTCTGTTTTATGCCAGTGATGAAGGGTCTCTGGAGGTTCCTGGGGGTTGAGGAGCCAAGCTGGGCCTGGCCCCAGACTCCCAAAAGCTTCTGCAACCATGACCCCTTTGACATCACCCTAATTCTCTATGCAAGTGGGAATGAGGGGCTGCCAGGCCAGGCCATAGTGGGGAAGCCCAGGCTCCCGCCCAAGACCACTGACCATCTGCCCTCCTTTAGCGCATTCGCTCCAACCTGGACATCCGGGCCCTGGACAGCCCCCGAGGGCTGCGGACAGAGGTTACCTCCAAGATATTCCAAAAAACGAAGACTGGGTCCTTCCACATCCGGCGTGGGGAAGTGGTACGCCTCTGGGGGGAGGGCGGGGCGGGGGACAGTGAGCAGGCAGGACTGGTACTGTGTTCATGAGGGGTGGGGTTTTCCCAAACAGCGTCAAGCATGTGGTCTCTGGAATCAACAGGCCTGAGTTCCAATCCCTCATATGAGCTTGGCATGCATTCCTCACTTTATCCTTAGCCTTGTCAGTACAGTGGGGTTAGAGGAGCCCTGACCTCAGAGGTTACTAAAATGAATAAATGAGACAATGTAACAGAGTTAAAGGAAATGAGGTATAATATAACAATGTAAAATGTCACCTTCTTTGTCACTGCTGTTAGGAGAACTGTGACTGGATAGAACAGGTATTCAGCCCAAAAAAGGATGGGTAGAGAGCCTCGTGTTGAGGTTCCACACAGTCTCAGAACCTGAGGGCCGGACTTGCCTTTCCTGACAATAGTATCTCTACAGGGCACATACAACGTGCAGTTGCGGGCTATTGAGGAGGTGGATGGGACACATGTGTGCCAACTACCGAGAGAGGACCAGGAGGGGAACATCCACCTGAAGCCTTCCTTCTCTGATGGTCTCAAGATAGACGTGGGCGTCATCTGTGACGTGTGCTCCTGCGAGCTGGTACAGTACAGTCCCATTGGAGGGTGGGCGGATGGGCAGGACGAGCTAACACCCTGTGGTCACATGGCCCTTCCATGTTCCCTTTCATGCGTCCCATACCCTCTCCCTCACACGCCCCACCCCCAACTGTCTTGTTCCAGCAAAAAGAGATCCGATCTTCGCTCTGTAACTTCAATGGGGACTTCATGTGCGGGCACTGTGTGTGCAATGAGGGCTGGTGAGTTGGAGGGGTTCCAGCTGATCCAAAAGGGGCTGACGCTGCCAGACTGGTGGGGGGCTCTGGGGAGGGGACACCCAGTGAAATGCACAGATATAGAGAGGATCTCTGCAAAGACTCACAGGGGAGCAAGTGGTAGCCATCAGGGTTGGAGATGGGGCTGGAGGGTAGGGAGACTTACTATTCACTCCATACCTTTAGTACCTTTTATATTCTGAGCCATGAGCCTCTATTACTTCATCAGAAAGAGAGTCAAGTGAATGGAAGAGCTTCTAGGGAACCCTGGTGGTACAACAGCTAAGCATTCAAACCCATGTAGCCACTTTGTGGGCGGAAGAGCTGGCCACCTGTTCCCATAAAGACTATAGTCTAGAAAACTGTATGGGGCGATTCTACCCTGTCGTACAGGGTCCCTAAGAGTCAGAATGGACTCGTTGGTACCCAACGTCAACAAAGGGCTTTGAAAGCTTCCAGGCACTGAACAAGGCTGTATGTATGTAGTACCTCAAGGGAGAGGAGAAGTGAAGAAGGGACACTTGAGGGGCAGACCTAACAGGAGACTGAGATTTGAGGCTCCGTCACTGCTGTCTGCCGCTGTCCTCTCTGAGTCTCAGTTTCCCTGTCTGTGAAATGGGATCATGAAAGCCCAGCCTTTCTTTCTACCCCACCCCCAAGGAGCGGCAAGACCTGCAACTGCTCCACAGGCTCACTGAGTGACACGCAGCCCTGCCTGCGAGAGGGCGAGGACAAACCTTGCTCAGGTCGCGGCGAGTGCCAGTGTGGGCGCTGTGTATGCTACGGGGATGGCCGCTATGTGGGTCGCTTCTGCGAGTATGACAACTTCCAGTGTCCCCGCTCCGCTGGCTTCCTCTGCAATGGTGAGGAAGCCACCCCCACCCTGCTATATCCATCTCCCTTCTGCACCAGGTTGGGCAATCCAAGCCCTGAACCTCACTTTTCTCATCTACAAATTTGATGCCCTAGGTCCCTGCCTGCTTCCCTGGGTCCTCTCTGACAGCTCTTATCCATGCCCGTCCCTTCCCCTCTTTAGGGTCGTCACCACTCAGCTGAACCTCAATGGTTGGTGGGTGAAGTGCATGATGGTCTTTTCTCTGCACTTCTAGCAGCAGGACTGGAGTTATATTTTCTGTGTATCTATCTGCACAGGGCCTGACTCAGTGTTGGGTTTGGGTGGTGGGCACATAGTCCAGCCAGGAGCTACAGAGCTGGGCAGGGGACACAGAATCCGTGTCCATTGTCATATGGATGGATTGGGTGATAGAATGGAGGCATGAGAATCAATTAGTCAAATACTTCAGTGAATCCCGACTCATAAGTATATATTAAGTTGCCACTGTATGCTTCGCACTGGAGGGTTGGGTGTCTATTTTTCTACACTTTCTTCCACTCCTGCTTTTATCTGCCATTTCTTAACTCAGAGAAGTGCTCAGAGAACTGAAAGGAAGAATCCAGCACCTGCCATGCAGAGAAAAGTGGGCAGTTGTTACAGATGGAGGCCAGGCCAGAGTGGGAGTGGCTGGTTCTAGTTCACACTGGCCCAGGTCTAGTCCAGTCCAAACATTTCTCAAGAGGTCAGAAAGTAAAGATCTATAGCTTTGTAAGAATCCTGGTGTGGCACTGTAGGATAAGCACTTGACCTCAAGGTTTGTTTTAACTGCAAGGTCGGTGGTTCAAATTCACCAGTCACTCCTCAGAAACACTACACAGGGTCACTGTGAGTCAGAACCAACTGGACAGCACTTAATAATAATAACAACATAGCTTTGTGAGCCTTAGAGCCTTTCTCACAAGTATTCAATTCTGCATCCATAAGCAATACGTAAGCAATGAGCGTGGCTGTGTTCTAATCAAACGCGATTTACAAAGACAGGTGACTCACTGGATTTGACCCACAGGCCAGAGCGGCTGGTGGTGGTGGTGTTCATATGCTGTGGAGTTGGTTGCGACTCATAGCGAACTTGTATAGATAGGGTTTCCAAGGCTGTAAATCTTTATAGGAACAGAAAGCCTTATCTTTGCCCCATGACAGGCCATAACTAGTTGACCCTTATTCTAGTTCAGGTGTTGTTGTTAAGTGCCGTGGAGTCAGTTCCGACTCATAACAACCCTGTACAGGGTTTCTGAGGTTGTAAATATGGGAGCAGAAAGCCTCATCTGATCTGTCTCCACAGAACAGCTGGTAGTTTCGAACTGCTGACCCTGAGGTTAGCAGCCCAATTTGTAACCACCACGCTACCAGATGCCATCAAATCAATTTTGACTCATAAGGATCCCATGTGATAAAGTAGAACTGCCCCCATAGAGTTTTCTAGACTGTAGTCTTTCCAAGTCTTTCTTCCAAAGAGCCACTGGAAAGGTTAAAGTACCCACCCTTTGGATAGCAGCCAAGCTCTTAACCATTGCAACATTGTTACTCTGTTAGATTGTATGCTTTGGGCAAAAGGGAGTCATTGAAAGTTTCAATTTCATTTTCTAACTATTTGTATGTAACCTTATATCCAGTCACCTTGCTAAACTCACTTATCAAATCTAAAAATTTACCTGTAGATTCTTCTGTAATATTGGGAGGACTTGATACTTGCAAATGACAATTTTATTTCTTCCTTTTATTTCTTTTTCTTACCTTATTGCATTGGTCAAGACCCATTAGAGGTTTTTAAACAGAGCCTCATGATTGGATTTGTTTGGGTGTCTCACAGTGGAGGTAGGAGGTGGGCTGGTGGGGGAGATGGAGAAGGAGATTCCAGGAGAAGGAGGCCAAGTGGCTCTAAGGTCCTGTTCTCACAGCTATTCACTGGTAGGTGGGCAGCCTGGGATTGCAGGTGCAAATGTAGTTCTCCTCTCTCTTCCCTCCACTCTACAGACCGAGGTCACTGCACCATGGGCCAGTGTGTGTGCGAGCCGGGCTGGACAGGCCCAAGCTGTGACTGTCCCCTTAGCAATGCTACCTGCATCGACAGCAATGGGGTATGCCTGGCACTGGGACAAGCAGGATGGGGCAGCTGAGCTGGTGTCCAGTCAGGGCCATCCTCTCCAAAGGATGCCAGCTGGAGAGATGGGAAGGAAGAGGAGAAAGCAGGGTGATGGGGGACACACCTGGCTCACTAGTACCTCTCCTTACCCCAGGGCATCTGTAACGGACGTGGTCACTGTGAGTGTGGACGCTGTCACTGTAACCAGCAGTCTCTCTACACAGACACCACCTGTGAGATCAACTATTCGGCGGTGAGGCTGGGAGTTCATGGGGGTGGGAATGGCAACCTGGGAACGCTGGACACAAGGGGGTGGCGTCTGGTGCTGTAGGAGCCAGTGGGGGGCGGGAGGCTGGTGGGGGCCAGACATGGCATCCCTGGGTCAGTGCTTATCTGCCCCCTCCCCACTCCCGCAGATCCGCCTGGGTCTCTGTGAGGACCTGCGTTCCTGTGTTCAGTGCCAGGCCTGGGGCACGGGGGAGAAAAAGGGGCGCACGTGTGAGCAATGCAGCTTCAAAGTCAAGATGGTGGACGAGCTGAAGAAAGGTGTGGGGCAGGGGTGTCCCTACACAAGGGGCAGGAGGCTCACTGTCGGAATTGAGGTCCCATAGTCTGGCCAGGAAGACGTTCTGGTAGCGTAGTGGTTACAAAATTGGGTTGCGAACTGCAAAGTCAGCAGTTCAAAATTACCAGCTGTTCCGTGGGAGAAAGACGAGGCTTTCTGCTCCCGTAAAGATTTACAGCCTCGGAAACCCTGTACAGGGTTGCTATGAGTTGGAACCAACTCCACGGCACATAACAACAACAACAGCCAGGGGCCATACAAGACAGAGGGGTCTGGGCGGGAGCCACCTGGCTTGAGCAGGGGCACATGGGCCAGGTAGGGCACCATAGTCAGACTGGATCCACAGCTTCCTCTGTTCCAGGTGACAAAAGACTTCCCAGGTGCCCAGTCCTGAGAGAGGCCCAGGGTGGGAAGTAGGAGACAGATTTGCAGGCTTTGATGCACGTGGATTCAAACCTTGAGCCCCAGCCCCAGGGTGGACCCCTTTACACCCCCCTGTGTTGGGGGAGGGAACAGTTTGCCTGGGAGCCTCAGTGTTGGGGACACCTCACCGGGCCCAGGGGTGCTGTACAAGGAGGGTGGGCTGGGTGCCGACTGACCGTCTGTGGGTGCAGCGGAGGAAGTGGTGGAGTACTGCTCCTTCCGGGATGAGGACGATGACTGTAACTACAGCTATGCAGTAGAGGATGACGGCGGTGCGCCCGGGCCCAACAGCACCGTGCTGGTGCACAGGAAGAAGGGTGAGCCAGCAGGCTGCCAGAGCCAGGGGTGGGGGGGGGCACTGTCAGACCTGGGGGGCAGGCACCACCTTCCTTCTCCTGCTTCTTCCTCCCAGACTGCCCTCCTGGCTCCTTCTGGTGGCTCATCCCCCTGCTCATCTTCCTCCTGCTGCTCTTGGCGCTGCTGCTGCTGCTTTGCTGGAAGTACTGTGCCTGCTGCAAGGTGAGACCCCAGTACCACCCCCAGATCACACCCCGAGGTCCCACCCCAGGCCCCACCCACAGGTCCCACCCAAGTATCATCCCCAGGTCACACCCCCAGATCAAACCCCCAGGTCACACCCAGGTCCCACCACCCAGATCCCACCCCCAGGTCATACCCCTAATTCCCACCCCAGGTCCCACCCATAGGTCCCACCCAAGTACCATCCCCAGGTCCCACCCATAGGTCCCACCCAAGTACCATCCCCAGGTCACACCACCCAGATCCCACCCCCCCAGGTCACACCCCTAGGTCCCACCTCAGGTCCCACCCCAAGGTCCCACTCCCAGGTCACACCCCCAGGTCACATCCCAGGGTCCCCACCCCCAGGTCTCATCCCCAACATCCTTCTCCCACCAGGTCTTCACCCCCTAGGGCCCCACCCACAGAATCTCCACCCCATGTCCCACAACCAGCATCCCACCCCTTAGGGTTCCACCCCCAAAGTCCCCATCCCCAGAGTCTCCACCCTGAGGTCCCACCTCCAGGATACCACCCCCAAATCCCCGCCTAGGGTCCCCATCCCCCAGGGTCCCAGTCTTCACCTCCTAGGGTGCCCCCCCAACAGGTCCTCACCTCTCCAGGTGTTTGGGGAAGACACCGTGGTCCCTGTGGGAGGGAGTGGAACAGCAGAGGGGCTTCCCTGGGGTGGGACATCTGGACTTCACAGCCTGTCCCACCCTCACCTCTCTTGTCTCCTAGGCCTGCCTGGCTCTTCTCCCCTGCTGCAAACAAGGTATGAGCCTGGCCCTAGGGGTATGTGTGTGTGTGTGTGTTTCTGACCTCTCAGTGTCCCCCAGCCGGTGTTGAGATGATGTGGGGGCTGAGTCTGGAGTGGCATCCCTCCGGATGGGCTGTGTCAGGTGGGTCTAGGGGCCCAGGGTTGAGCATGCTGTCCCGCAGGCCCCACAGTGGGCTTCAAGGAAGACCACTACATGCTACGGGAGAACTTGATGGCCTCTGACCACCTGGATACCCCCATGCTGCGTAATAACAACCTCAAGGGGCGGGACACCGTCCGCTGGAAGATCACCAACAATGTACAGCGCCCCGGCTTTGCCACCCGCTCGGCCAGCACCAACCCTGCAGAACTGGGTGAGGGCGGGCTGGCCCCGCAGCCCCTGACAGTGGGGGCCCAAGATTGCTCTGTTCGTTTGCTTTGGGTGTTAGGGGCAGGCACGAGATCCCCAGTCCTAGTGTGCTTCCTGAGGGGGTTCAGTGGTGCCCACTGATGATACCCCCTATCGGCTGTCCCCAGTGCCCTATGGGCTGTCCCTGCGTCTTGCCCGCCTTTGTACCGAGAACCTGCTGAAGCCTGACACCCGGGAATGCAGCCAGCTGCGCCAGGAGGTGGAGGAAAATGTAAGCACTTCCCTGGGCCTGGGGGGCGGCAGGCAGGGGGGCAGGAAGCAGTAGGAGAGGTGCCTCAATTTTTCCCATTGGGAAAAAGGGACCTCCTTGACCAGGGGCCCACAATCCATATGGGATCTGTGACTGTGTCCAGTGGGCATGGGGGCGGGATGTCATGACAGGCCCCTGGATATATACCTAGCCCACCCTGAGAGGTTGGGTGGCTCTTGGTAGAGAGCCCCCCCTAGCTCTTGATGGTCCAGGGTGGAGGGATGGCCATGGGGCCGCTTGTCCCTTGCTCCCAGACTCATGGAGCCCCCTAACCTGCAGCTGAATGAAGTGTACAGACAGATCACAGGTGCCCACAAGCTCCAGCAAACGACATTCCGGTGAGTCCAGGGCAGGTGGGGGTGGGGGTACTGCCTATATATACAGCTGTCTTCAGGAGGTTAAGCTCCCAGGCAGACCCTGTGTCCACCCCATGTCCTCCTACCTCTCACCTGTGCTTAGGCTCCTCTGACTCCATGTTCCCTTTCCACCCCCCAACAGGCAACAGCCCAACGCGGGGAAAAAGTGAGTAGAAGACACATGGGAGGCAGGCAGGTCCCAACTCCAGCCACCTGCCCCAGCTGCTCTCTGCCCAGCCCCAGTCACATCTGCTTCCTCTCTCAGCTTCCTCTGTCTCCATCCCAGCCCTCTCTGTCCCATCTCCATCCCATAGGGAGTGGGGACTGAATGTGTCTGTCATGACTTAGAACTTTCTTCATTCACTCCACAAACAGGAGTGTGGAGCCTGTCCTAAGATAGGTCAAACCCCAGGCAACCAGACAGACACCGTCCTTGCCCCCCTACTGACACCAGGCTTAGTCCAATGCCCAACCCCGTCCTTCCTCCAGATCCTGAGAGTCTGGCCCTGAAGACACATCTGGGTACCAGACATGTTACTAAGGAGATGCACCCAGGTCACCGGCTCTTTCCCGGGTCCCTACCTGAGTGCTGTGGTCAATGCAGCGAGGATAGAACAGTGGAATCAGAATACAGCTTATTCTCACTGAGCACGTCACCATCAATAACAATCATTTCGACTAACATTGGGGCCGTGTTCTAAGAGCTTTGTGTGTGTGCTGTCTTACCCAACCCTTTCTCAGCCTTGTGAGGTTACCATTGCTGCCCCCATTTTACAGATGAGGAAACTGAGGCCCAGAAAGGTTGAGTAACTTGCCCATGGTTATCTAGCTATCGGGAAGTAGAACCAGGATTTGAACCCAGGCAGTCTGTCTACAGCATCCATGCCCTGAGCATTTTTGCTACCCTGTCCCACTCTTAGTTCCTCTACTCCTCACATCACTGGTCCCTTAGTGAGTGGGAGGGGCAGCTCATTTCCCAGAAGAGGATGCTGAGCTTCAGGGAGGTGTGTGGCATGTCCAAGGCTGCAGGTAGATGGTGACGAGGCCGTTTAGTCTGACGATCCTGTGCTTTTACTGCCCTGCCTCTGGTCCCCTGATGGCAGGGCGAGGCCAGCCTGACACCTCCCACTCCTGACTCCCTACCCTAGGCAGGACCACACAATCGTGGACACAGTGCTGATGGCCCCCCGCTCAGCCAAGCAGGCTTTACTGAGCCTGACAGAGAAGCAGGTGGAGCAGGGAGCCTTCCATGAGCTCAAGGTGGCTCCGGGCTACTATACCCTTACTGCAGACCAAGGTAGGTGGCACTGCGTCCTTGAACCCCACCCCTTGTGTGAATCCCTGGCCCATGTCTGACTGCCCTGACTCCCTACCCAGATGCCCGGGGCATGGTGGAGTTTCAGGAGGGCGTGGAGCTGGTGGATGTACGCGTGCCCCTCTTCATTCGGCCTGAGGATGAAGACGAGAAGCAGCTGCTGGTGGAGGCCATCGATGTGCCCTCGGGCACTGCCACCCTTGGCCGCCGCTTGGTCCACATCACCATCATCAAGGAGCAAGGTCGGCTCTTAGGGGCACCTCCAACAGTACCAGTGACCATCCACTTGACTTCTATGGGTGACCCCACGTGTGCCAGAGTAGAACTGTGCTCCACAGGGTCTCCAGTGTCTGCTATTTCACAACTAGATGGCCAGGCTTTTCTTTCAAGACACTTCTGGGTGAACTTGAACCTCCAACCTCACAGTTAGCAGCCAGCCATGTTAACTATTTGCATTACCCAGGGTCTCCTGGACCACCTTGCTTCTCTTGATATCTCAGTGGAAGTGGGACCCAGCCATTTAACCTGGGGCAAGTCACTTAACATAAAGTGAGCCTCGGTTTCTCCATCTATGAAGCGGGTATGAGGCTCCTATGTGGAGTCGGTGGCTGTAAGTCTCTTTGAACAGGCAGGAAGTGGGAATGCCTACTATCTCCTCTCGCTCTGTTCCCCTCTCCCTTGTGGCCTTTCTGAATTTAGGGGCTCACACAGGTCCCCTAGGAGGCTAGGATGTTAGAGCAGGAAAGGGGACGGGGGCTCATTTTATCCACACTCCTCGTGGGCAAATGAAGAATTAGAGACTCAGATTGAGGAGGGGGTCAGTCCAGCCCTTGTACTATTGGCTTCAACTTTGTCTTTCCTGTATCAAGGGCCCATGCCATACCTGCCCCCAGAGACCCACACACTTGGTCCTGCTCAGCCTCCTTTCTTTGACTGACCCTTCCAGGGTGTCCTCTGTTGGACCCTGTGTCCTAGCCCCCTTGACTTTTTCTGAACGATTTCTCTACCCTTCCCAGACAGACGTGCTGTTTGGGGAGGGGGACACATAGCCTCCTGGAGGCTGGGCTGGGCTGGGTGAAGGGCTGAGGCCCAGCCAGCCTGACCAGTGAGCTCCTTGCAGCCAGAGCCGTGGTGTCCTTTGAGAAGCCTGAGTACCTCATCAGCCGCAGAGAGCAGGTGGCCCGAATTCCCATTGTCCGGCGTGTCATGGACAGTGGCAAGTCCCAGGTCTCCTACCGCACACAGGACAACACAGCACAAGGCCACCGGGTAAGAGTCCCCATAGGGTTCCTAAGATGGCAGGACATGGTACCTACCAGAGTCCCTGAGCTAGCCTCTCAGACATGCCCACCTGCTTCCATCTCCTTGGGTGAGGCGAGGGCCAGGGCCCCTCCCTGCCAGGACACAGGCTAGAACATTCCTGTGTCCTCTCTCTCAGCCCAGGATCACCAGGGCAGCCAGAACCTTCTGAGGGAAATGAACTCTCCAGTTGGTCCAGGCCCGACACCCCAAGGTCCTTTACTGTCTGCCCAGTGGGCTCTGCCCAGCAGAAACAGCCCTTCAAGGGCAGCGGAGAGAGGTGGGGGGTGTGCCCAGTCCCCTTCCTCACTAGACTCCAGCTCAGGGGATAGCCAACTCCAGCTGGCAGACAGGTTTGGCGTGGTGGTGGTGGTGGTAGTTCATTTTGAATGTATTACTGTTGTTAGCCGCTTCGAGTCGATGTCAATTCCTGATAAACCCCCTCAGTTTTCAGCCGTTTTAAACTGGTTTCTCATTTTTTAAATATTACAAAATAAGACCTCAAATATGTTTTAAGATAAGTTAATTCTGTTTAAAAGACAGTGCCTTTCTTAGTTTAGAGACCTCTGTGCGTCAGAAGCAAACTGTGCTCTGTCTGATTTACAAAGCTGGGACCTCTAGGAAACAGATCACCAGGCCTCGGATGGGTTTGAACCTGCCAACCTTTTGGCTAGTAGTCAAGCACATAACCACTTGTGCCACTCAAGGACCCATTGAATTGATTACCAACATCTAAAAACATTTTAAATTCATGTAAAAAATTATTTCAAATAAGAAACACCAGCTTTGCTGAGCCCACAGGCCTACTTGGTGAACCTCAGCACTGTGGTAGCTGATCCTTCAGGCAACGTGCTCCCCAACATTCCTCATTACTACTCCAGTGTGCCCAATAAAATTCCCAGGATATATTTATATGTTCATAAATGTCATACAGGAGCTCTGGCAGCGTAGTGGTTATGAATCGGGCTGCGAACCGCAAGGTCAGCAGTTGGAAACTACCAGCTGTTCCGCGGGAGAAAGATGAGGCTTTCTGCTGCTGTAAAGATTTACAGCCTTGGAAACCCTGTACAGGGGTCGCTGTGAGTCGGAACCGACTGTATAGCACTTAACAACAACAACAGCTGGCTCTATCCTGCTATTTTATTTTGGAAAAAAAACACACCTTTAAACCTACAGAAAATTTGAAAGACTACTGAAAAAATAAGCACCTATTTTACCCTTAGAGTCCCCGTGTGGCGCTGTAGTATAAGCACTGGACTGCTAGCCACAAGGTTGGTGCTTCATACCCACCAGCTGCTCCTTGGAAATCTTATGCAGGTCGCTATGAGTTGGAACAGACTCTATGGCACTTAGCAACAATGACATTTCTGCCTTACATATTGTTAATGTTTGCCTTATCTAGAGAGAGAGAGATTTGGATATGTTGTTGTTATGTGCCGTGGAGTCGGTTCCAACTCATAGTGAGCCTGAACAGGGTTTCCGAGACTGCAAATCTTTACGGGAGCAGAAAGCCTCATCTTTCTCCCGCAGAACAGCTGGTAGTTTCCAACTGCCAACCTTGAGGTTAGCAGCCTGATTCGTAAGCACTATGCTACCAGAGCTCCTCTGTAGGGTTTTCTAAACTGTGACAGTTACAGGATTGGGTCCCCAGATCTTTCTCCCATGAAGTCTCTGGGAAGGTTCGAACAGCCAGCCTTTCTGTTAGCAGCTGAGTGTTTCACCATCGCACTACCAAGGCTCCTTTTAGATCCAGAGACATAGTTAGAGAGCAATAGAATACCTCCAGATGTAAGTTGTTGTTGTTGTTGTTAAGTGCCTTCAAGTCGGTTCTGACTCATAGCGACCCTGTATAGGTCTTCCAAGGAGAGGCTCGTGAATTTGAACCACCAACCTTGAGGTTCAAACAGACCTTGCAGTCCAGTGTATTATCCCACAACGCCACACCAGATGCATCCATATCCAGATTTATTTATCTATATATACAGAAGTTGGTTGTTTTTTGTTTGCTTGCTGAGGTGTTTCAGAGGAAGTTACAAACATGACACAGAACTCCTCAACACTTCCGCTGTACTCCCTAAGAACAACGGCATCCTTCTGCATGCCTACGACACAGTTTCCCAAGTTAAGAAACTTGATACTGTTGTTGAGTGTTGTCATGTTGTTTCTGATTCATAGAGAAACTGCGCAGGGTTTCCAAGGAGCGCTTGGGGGTTTGAACCACAGACCTTGAGGTTAGCAGTCCAATGTTTATCCTGGACACCCTGATTATACTTTGTTGTTGTTGTTAAGTGCCATTGAGTTAGTTTCAACTCACAGTAACCCTGTATAGGATTTCCAAGAAGCAGCTGGTGAGTTTGAACCGCCTACCTTATGGCTCAAACAGAACTTGTAGTCCAGTGCTTTATCCCACAGTGCCAGTCCATATCCAGATGTTCCAGTAATTAATGCCCTTTATAGCTCCCCCTACTCAGAGACCCTCCCCAGAGTTGTATTTTGTTGCTATGGGTCTTTTGTCTGCTTTAATCTAAAAAAGTTCACAGTTTTGTTTTTCATGACAGGAACATTTTTTGGAAGCATCCAGGCCTGTGGTCTTGTAAAACAATTCTCTGATATTTCCTACATCATCAATTGAACTTTCTTGGGTTCCTAGCTTTTGAGTTTGTCTTCCCTGCCCTGCCCTGGAATTGAAATGTGTTCATGTGAAACGCCACCTAGTGGTCACATATAAGAGTGATTTTTTTTTTTTTTTTTTTTTCATGATTGCTGACCTTTGATTTACATTACACACATATGCACACACTATACTCCCACATTCATCCTCAGAAGCTCAAAGAAGCTCTTCTCTGAAGTATTGGAAAAAGAAAGTTGGAGCCGATGGTAGCAGCCAGCAGACAGGGCCTGGGGCCAGGTGGATCCCAGGGCCTGGAGCCAGGTGGAATCCCAGACTCAGAGTCAGTATGGGGACAGTTTTTCCCTCCTTGGGTTGTTGTTAAGTGCCATTGAGTTGGTTCTGGCTCAGAGACCCTGTATAGGGTTTTCAAGGAGTGGGTGGGCACTGCAAATCCCAGCCCCCAGGGACTCACAAAGGGCTAAGTGCCTGCCTGTGTCCGGAACTCTACCTGCTGGTTCATTTGTGTGTCTCTCTCTCTAACCCTTGGACTCGTGGTGTGGCGCTGTAGGATCAGCACTGGACCGCGAACCACAAGGTCAGCAACCCAAACCCTCCAGATTGCTCCTTGGAAACCCTATACAGAGTCGCTATGAGTCAGAGCTGACTCGATGGCACTAAACAACAATTCTAAGCCTCGGTTCAAATCCTGGCTCCACCAAAACTATATGAATGAACTTGGGAAGCTTCTTATTTTATTTTATTTTTTTAACTTTTTATTGTGACTTGAGTGAAGGTTTACAGAATAGATCATTAGTTGAGGGCAAACTTCTTAACCTTTCCATGCCTCAGTTTCCATACCAGTAAAATGGGGATGTAAAACCCATCAACCCCTCACTGTTGTGAGGATCAAGTGAGCTAATATTTGTAAAGTGCTTGACACACCTGTAACCTGTTGCCACGTGTAACAGAGTAGAACTGAATTCCGGAAGGTTTTTTGCGACTTTACAGAAATAGATAGTTAGGTCTTTCTTCTGTGGTACCACTGGGTGGGTTTGAACCAGCTGCACCAGTCAGAGACCTATGGATGCACAGGAGATGCTATATAATAATACGAGCCATTTCATGATGGTGTGAGTCTGTGTATGCTGGAATCTGAAGTGCCATCTACTTGGGATGGTCTGTATGGTCACGACTTAGCGTGTCCCGCAGAGGACTCTAATTTCTGAGTTCCTGGACACACCAGCCCTGGACTGATGCCAATCCTTTCCCGTTCCCAGGACTATGTCCCCGTGGAGGGCGAGTTATTGTTCCATGATGAGGAAACATGGAAGGAGCTGCAGGTGAAGCTTTTGGAGCTACAGGAGGTGGACTCCCTCCTGTGGGGCCGCCAAAGCCGCCGCTTCCACGTTCACCTCAGCAACCCCAAGTTCGGGGCCCGACTGGGCCAGCCCCAATCCACCACCATCATCATCGGGGATCAAGGTGGGCAGAATCTGGAGCCAGTTGAAGAGGGGAAGGGAGAGCTGGAAGCATCAAGTGGAGCTTCCCGATTTAGTAAATCAAAATACTCATACAGAAAATTTGGTTGGTTAGTTGCTACTGAGTATGTTCCGACTCATAGCGACTCTGTGTAGGGTTTCTGAGGTGTAAATCTTTAAGGGAGCAGAAAGTCTCATCTTCCTCCCATGGAGCAAATGGTAAAATTGAACTACTGACCTTTCAGTTAGCAGTTCAGCTCATAAACCACTACGCTACCAAGGCTCCCTCATGCACTCATCGAAATGTGAATTTCAGATCAATAATGGACGCTCTTCTTTTGTAAGTACATCCGAAGAAGTATTTAGGACAGGCTTACACTAAAAAAGTGTTCATTGTTGGTCTGAAGCTCACATTCCACAAGATGTCCTGTATTTTATCTGGCAGCTAAAGGTTGAGATCCTGCTGTTGTGGCACACATGACCTGCTGCTGGGGGTTTGAATATCACCAGCAGGTCTTATCCCTTTGACTTTAGCCTCCTTGTTAGTTACAACCAAGTCAGTTCCCATTCATGATGAGCCCCTGTGTGCTCCAAAGGGTTTTCAAGGCTATGACTTTCAGAAACAGATCCTCAGGCTTGTGTTCCAAGGCACCACCCACTTTCCAGCTAGTGGTGGTGGTAGTGGTTTGCCACTGAGTCAGTTCCAACTCATAGCGACTCTGTACAAGGTTTCTGATGCAGTAAATTCTTTTTTTTTGTTTTCTTAAACGTTTTATTGTGAATTATGTGATAGTTTACATGGGAGGACATTAATTTTACATTCATTCTATCGTATATCATCTCATTTAATGCAGTAAATTCTTACAGAAGTAGAAAGCTTCCTCTTCCTCCTGCAAAGTGACTGGTAGATTTGAACTAGTGACCTTGAGGTTAGCAGCCCAGCTGTTAATCCACTATGCTACCAGGGCACCTTCCAGCTAGAATCCAGCACTTAACCATTATTCCACCCAAGGAATTCTGACTTCAGTTTCAGTTCCAACTAAAATATGGGGCCTCCCAGTAGAGGTATAACAATTAGTCCGCATCTATTCCAGACTTCCATATAGTGGCGTCCGCGAGCTCCTCTCTGGGAGGAAGCCTTGATGGAAAGCTGGGAGGAGAAGGATGCTGGAAGAGGAAGGATACTGTGAGCAGTTGGGAGCAGGTTTCAATTGTTTCCCTGGTGAAAAAAAAGCCCCCTAGGAGCTCCGGTAGCGTAGTGGTTACGAATCGGGCTACGAATCTTAAGGTCAGCAGTTCGAAACTACCAGCCATTTCGTGGGAGAAAGATGAGGCTTTTTACTCCCATCAAGATTTACAGCCTTGGAAACCCTGTACAGGGTCTCTATGGGTCGGACTCGCTGGCACTTAACAAGAGTTTAAATGAGTCTCTGCCGCCCCCTGGTGGTGGGGACAGGCTCCTGTCTCCACTGTCAAAGGATGTGTGAATTGGCTGGCCAGCCCCAATTTGACCCATTACAGACAAAATGGACCTGGGCATGAACTTGACCGGCCAGACCCTGTCATCAGCCCCACCCCCCCGCGGTGACCCAGCTGCCCCACAGAACCCCAATGCCAAAGCCGCTGGTTCCCGGAAGATCCACTTCAACTGGCTGCCCCCTCCTGGCAAGCCAATGGGGTACAAGGTAAGGTAGGCGTGATGGTGGGTTGAATGGGGGGGTAATCTGGACCGAGGGGGTAGACAGCCTGAGGACCCCCTGGGTGAGGAGAGGGCATAATTGTGTGGACATGGTGAACAGGGAGCCCCATCTGGCTTTTCAGACATTTGCTCCCCTCTCCCATGCCTAAGGAATCTCACTGACCCCACTGGGCCAGAGCCATGTCATGTGAATATGGCAAGTCACCTAACACCCTGTGTTATGGGCAGGACTCCAAGGGCAGGAGGGGTGACTCTGGACCCCAGACCCCACAATCATCCCTTCTGGGAGCAGGTAAAATACTGGATCCAGGGTGATTCTGAGGCCGAAGCCCAGGTGCTGGACAGCAGGGTGCCCTCGGTGGAGCTCACCAACCTGTACCCATACTGCGATTACGAGATGAAGGTGTGTGCCTACGGGCCACAAGGTGACAGCCCCTACAGCTCCGTGGTGACCTGCCGCACACACCAGGAAGGTGAGACTCAGCACATCCAGACCAGCCACCCTGGAGCTAGGACACTTCCCGGTCCCCCGACCTTGGGCCTCACCACCACTGACAGCTCTCTTCCCCCCACTTCCACTCAGTACCCAGTGAGCCAGGGCGCCTGGCCTTCAACGTCGTCTCTTCTACGGTGACCCAACTGAGCTGGGCCGAGCCCGCAGAGACCAACGGCGAGATTACAGCCTATGAAGTCTGCTACGGCCCTGTCAATGAGGACAACCGTAAGGACCGGGCCCCTCTCCTGCCCTTGGGACAACAGACATGGAAAAGGAAGGGATAAGGAGCCAAAGGGAGACCCTGAGTTCAGTCAGGGCCCCCAGGGACCTACTTTGGTAGCCCGAGGCATCAGTGGGTTCAAGTCATATTTGGGCCACGGCCCCCTTGAGGTTGTTGTTGATAAGTACCGTCGAATTGTTCCAACCCATAGTGACCCTGTATAGGGTTTCCGAGGGGCAGCTGGTGAGCTTGAACCGCCAACTTTGCAATTCAAACAGCTTTGCAGTTTGGCGCATTAACCCACAGCGCCACACCAGGACTCTCCCCTTGAGGTACAGACTATATATACCCACCTAGAGTCACACGGTGGAGTCCTGGCATGGCGCTATAGGATAAACACTGAAGTGCAAGGTCAGCAGTTCAAATCCACCAGCTGCTCCTTGGAAACCCTATACAGGGTCATTATGAGTGGGGCCACAGAGCAAGTTGTACCTCCCCATACCGATTAACAGAGGGACTCGTTTCACATGGTTCCTTTAGGGCCAATGTACAGTTGCCAGATTTAGCAAAGAAAAACACGGCTCACCATAAATTTCAGATAAACTGGTTCTCTTGCAACATGAACATCTAGCAGACTGGTTCCTTTTTCCCAGCTCTGGAAGGAAGCCCCGGGGGCCAACTCCTGCTAATTGTCCAGAAAGGAAAATGGTAGAAGGAAGTTGGTCCCACCTCTCACCTGTGACAGGGACTGCCTTTTCCCAGCCTCACCTTTGCTTGGTTAGTCTCAGTGATGGGGAGCTCACCACCCTACAGAACAGTTGTTTTGAGAAGTTGTGGTGGAATCAGACTTTCTAGGACTCTGTGAGGATGAATTTCTTCACTTCCACATAGTCTTGATGGAGCTCTGGTAGCATAGTGGTTATGAATCAGGCTGCGAACCACAAGGTCAGCAGTTTGAAACTACCAGCCGTTCCATGGGAGAAAGATGAGGCTTTCTGCTCCTGTAAAGATTCACAGCCTCAGAAACCCTATACAGGGTTGCTATGAGTTGGAACCAACTCCACGGCACATAACAACAACCGGAGCTGAGAGAATGCCCTCTCCAACCTAAAAGACCTCCATCAACAAAGGCTTTTTTTTTCCCCCATTGGTTTCATTACAAAGACTGTAATCCCCTCCACATACCATCAATTAACAACATTTACCTCTATTCACTTCAACTCTTGCATCCCTCTTCCGCTACCTTCATTTTTCCTCTGCCAACCTCCCTCTTGCCAGCAAGCAACTTTTTGAGCACAGGGCATTCTTGGGATGGACATCAATTCTACCAGTTGCCATATTCCAAAACCTTCCTTCGGACCCTTTTGAAACCCAGGATGTTTTCTGGTCTCTCTTCTCTGTCCCCCAGAAGTATTGCATTCAGCAGCCCAGCTGGATTTTGTTAACTCTGAGCAACCATGGGGGTGGGAGGGTGTCTCCCCATCTGTTTTCTGGCAGCTGTGGACCCACCCTTCCCAGTGTAAGACCCTGGGGAAGCCAGGCTGACATCCCTAGCCTGTCCTCAGCTGATGTGACGACAGCTACTGGTCTTCCTGTCCCACCAAGCAACCCTCCAGCTTCTCCTGAATCCTTAGCCCTCACAAACCTCGGTTCATCTTACATGTCAGCCACCTGAGCCCACTCCAAAGGAACACTGGTGTTGCACTGGTTTAAGCATTGGGCCGCTAACTGCAAGGTTGTGGTTCAAATCCACCAGCCTCTTTTCAAGAAAAAGACGAGACTGTCTGCGCCCATAAGATTTGCAGTTTTGGAAATCCTACAAAACCCCACTCAGATCCTGTAGGGTCGACGTGAGAATCGTCTCAGCGGCAGAGGGTTTTTTTCCCCTCCTTGCTCACGAGGACAAAGTAATCCAAGGGCAGATGTGCGGGTACTCAGAGCCCCTGCCTCTGCTTCCTCCACAGAGTCCACTGGGAATTGGTTGTAGACAGCGGGGCACAGGGCATGAAATATCATCCTCGACTGCCCATGCCTCTTGAGTGAACCTCACTTGGAGTCACTTTGGATGCGTTACCAGTGGGTAGAGGTGAAACGGGGCCGACTGGACTCTAGGCCTGGTTGTCACTCAGATGCTGTGTTCTTACTTAGGAGCCATCCAGGCCTACAGGGTGGTTCTGATAGGTCAGGCGGAAACCTGGGGCACCCCTCTGAAGCTCTCTCTCTGCCCCAGAACCCATCGGGCCCATGAAGAAGGTGCTGGTGGACAGTCCCAAGAGACGGATGCTGCTCATTGAAAACCTTCGGGAGTCCCAACCCTACCGTTATACCGTGAAAGCGCGCAATGGGGCAGGGTGGGGACCCGAGCGGGAGGCCTTCATCAACCTGGCCACCCAGCCCAATAGGCCCATGTCCAGTGAGTGGGGGTGAGGAGGCACAGGGTGGATGGGGAGAGCAGGTGGCTGGAACTGGGCCCAGGTTCATCTCCTCCCACCCCACAGTCCCCATCATCCCTGACATTCCCATCGTGGATGCCCAGAGTGGGGAGGACTACGACAGCTTCCTCATGTACAGTGATGATGTACTGCGCTCCCCGACAGGCAGTCAGAGGCCAAGTGTCTCCGACGACACTGGTAAGTGAGCCTGGGACCCGTGTCATTGGTGTCCTGATAAAGCAAAAGGGGCATGGTGGTCAACACTAGAAGTCACTACCATTGAGTCAGCTACATACAATTCAGAGCGACTTTACAGGACAGAGAGCTGCTCCCTAGGGTTTCCAAGGCTGTAATCTTTACGGTAGCAGACTGCTGCATCTTACTCCCTTGGAGCCACTGGTGGGCTCGAGTTAGTGACCTTCCGGTTAGCAGCCCAACCCATAATCCACTACTCCACTTGGGCTCCAGCAAACATTAGGGGAGTCTACAATTTGGTAAGCACTGTAACTGGCAGTGGGGATACAGGCAGATACAGTCCATGGGCGGGGGTGTGCATGCCCATGTATAAGGGCATACAGATGTGTGCTTGAGGATAGATACATACAGGCTCCCATGTATGTGGCTTCATGCACGTGGCCCAGGTAGCAACAGCTTTGTGGCTCCAGAGCTCATGGGACACGCAGGACAAGGCTACTGTGGGAGGAGGCAGGCATGGCCCAGAAACCCCTCAGCAGCCATGTGGCCAGGTACCAATAGGGCCACCCCTGCACCTCACCGCACCCCCTAACATGCACATTAGCCTTGTGCCTCCTTTTCTTGAGTTCCAGCACGACATAGTAGAAAAAACCCTTGTGAATTCTGTACTAGCTTTGGCCCCAGTGTGGGACATCAATGAACCTCTGAAACTCTCTGTGCCTGTTTCCTGATCTGTAAAATAGGATGCCAGTCACAAGATGCTCTGAGTCAGAATCCTCTGGGGCACCTTTATTTCTCCTGCCTCCAGTTTCTTCAGTGATCACATACTGGTGTTCAGCCTTACAGAGCTGCTTGGGGGGTCTGAATGAACCCTGGTAGTACAGCGGTTAAGCGGGCAGCTGCTAACTGGAAAGTCAGCAGTTTAAAACTCACCTGCTGCTCTGAGGGAGGAAGTTTGCTTCTGTAAAGATTTACAGCTTAGAAACCCTATGGGGCAGTTCTCCACTGTCCTACTGGGTCGCTCTGAGGCAGAATTGACTGGGTGGCAGCGGATTGGGTTTGGTTGACGGTCTGAGGAAAGAACAGTTGGTTTAAATCAGGAGTCCAAGCTTTGCTCCTACTAACTCTATCCTGCACCTGTGGAACCTCTGGCCTTCTGGAACAGCCCTTGGAGGGCAACAGGGAAAGGGCTCCGTTCCTGGAAGTGACTTCAGGGAGACCTCACAGAGCAAGCACCGACTCCCAGGGGTCTGTCCTGGGTGCCACACTGTAGGTCACATGGAGAGGGAAAGAGCTTCAGGCTAGGCCAAGCTGAGGGTCGCACCTGCCTGGGGCTCCCCACACCTGGATCCTAGTGAGCCTGAAGGATGGGCCTCGTTGCAGCGCCACCCACCTCCGTCCGTCCGCCCCGCCTCGCGCAGCCGCCCGCCCGCCGGCGGTGCCAACGCAGCCCTTCGTTGTTCCCAAGGCGGTGGCTGCTGGAAGTTCGAAACCCTGCTGGGTGAGGAGCTGGACCTGCGGCGCGTCACGTGGCGGCTGCCCCCGGAGTTCATCCCGCGCCTGTCGGTTAGCAGCGCGCGCTCCTCCGAGGTGTCCCCCGAGTCCCGGGACGACGACGCTGCCGCCGCGGGTGTGGGGGGCAGTGGCCTGTCCTGCAGTACGACACCTGGGCCCCCCGGAGGTGATGGCCTTTTCCAGGGCCGTGCCCCTACCGCACACACTTAGGCACACTTGGCACCTGCTCCTGGGGTCCTGGGGTGGGCTGCATCAGGAGGATCAGGCAGATCCCCTCATGCAACCTCCCCCAGCTCAAATGCACCTCAGCCTGCCACTATGGTGGGCATCCTAGGAGGCAGGCCCCAAAGCCAGGAACCGCCAGGGCTGTTCCTAGGTGTGGGATTTTGCCACACCGACACTCCTCACAGACACAAAGCCTTTTGTCCCTGGTGAACTGAAGCAGGATGGCTGTATTTGTCAAGGCAATCCTGGGCCAAAGGCCCAGGCCTGCAGCTGACCCTGCTCTCCCCCACAGAGCACCTGGTGAACGGGCGGATGGACTTTGCCTTCCCGGGCAGTGCCAACTCCCTGCACAGATTGACTGCAGCCACCGTCGCGTATGGCACCCACCTGAGTCCACACCTTCCCCACCGAGTGCTGAGCACGTCCTCCACCCTGACCCGGGACTACCACTCGCTGACCCGCACAGAGCACTCAGCCACACTTCCCAGGGACTACTCCACCCTCACCTCTGTCTCGTCCCACGGTGAGCACCCCAGGCCCCACATCCACTCTGCTGACCGCAGCCTACGGTCTCCAGCACACACCACACAGTGTACACCCCCCCTCACTCTGTTTTGTCCTGCCCTAGGCCTCCCTCCCATCTGGGAAGCTGGGAGAAGCAGGCTTCCGTTGTCCTGGACCTTGGGGGTCCGGAATCGGGCTCAAGTGAAGGGGCTGCCTCCCTTTGGGGGTTCAATAATCCTGGCAGGGCAGCCAACAGCACCTTCTAGGGACCCAGGTAGTGCAAGGGTAGCCACCCTCTATCTCCATGGCTGAACTGCTCCATCTGACAACACCCATTCATTGCAGCCACCACCTTCACATCCTCCATCCCATCCACAGGGCCGTCTTCCTGCAGGGGCTAATCACCTGCTCCATCCCATCAGTGCTGATGCCTAACACAGCCTCCGCCCTTTTGGGGGTATCCAGGCCAGGCCAACTGAGGTTGGGGCTCATGAAGCTTATCCTCTCTTGGTACAGGCAGGGCCCGCACCCACTCTGAGGACATTCGGGAGGTACTGGGGGGCCTGGACAGGGTATTGCAGGGTGAGTGAGTGGCCTGGCCGGCAGGTAGTAACTTCCACCCAGAGACTCCTGCTTTCAGTGCTCTGACTTTAGGCCTCTGGTCCCCTAGGATCCCGTGCGGTTGTGGGTGTGCCAGACACCCCCACCCGCCTGGTGTTCTCAGCCCTGGGGCCCACGTCTGTGAAAGTGAGCTGGCAGGAGCCGCAGTGTGAGAGGGCACTTCTGGGCTACAGTGTGGACTACCAGCTGCTTAATGGTGGTAAGTGTGCCTGGTGTGGCTATGGGGGCAGTCCTGCGGGGGCCCCCACACACAAGCACACATCCCTATCCAGCCTTTAAGGGGATCCCTCTCTTCTATCCGTGCTTCAACTACTTCCCTGGGCACCTCTCTCCGGGTCATCTCCTCTGCTAGGTTTTGCCAAACAAGAGCCCATTGACCTCAGACCCAGAGCCCCAGCTGGCCAGACATACCATACCTATGGAAAGTTGGGAATGGTACCTCTGGGCGGACACCTAGGTCCCTAACAGGGCACAGGGTCTGGAGGGGACATGATTGGCTTTCAGGCCTCACTCATCCCTTGTACCGTGGTGAGCCAGACATATCTAACTCTAGGCTGATCACAGCTGGTCCTGCGGTGACCGCCAGTCTTTGTGGCAGCTTGGGTAAGGGGTCCACTGTCCGTTCCACTCTGCCCCCGCAGGCGAGCTGCAACGGCTCAACATCCCCAACCCCAGCCAGACGTCGGTGGTCGTTCAGGATCTCTTACCTAACCACTCTTATGTGTTCCACGTGCGCGCCCAGAGCCAGGAGGGGTGGGGCCCGGAGCGTGAGGGCATCATCACCATTGAATCGCAGGTGCACCCACAGAGTCCACTCTGCCCCCTGCCAGGTGAGCTACCCTCATCCCCTAACATATTGAAACTTCCCCAAGCCCCACCTTCACCATGTGCCCCACCCAGACAGATACCCCCATTCGGGTCCCAACCCCAACATAGACACGCCTCCTCCACCCACAGGCTCCACCTTCACCCTGAGCACCCCCAGCGCACCAGGCCCACTGGTATTCACTGCACTGAGTCCAGACTCACTGCAGCTGAGCTGGGAACGACCGAGGCGGCCCAACGGAGACATCCTCGGCTATCTGGTGACCTGCGAGATGGCCCATGGAGGAGGTGCTGCCCACTCCTGGAGCGTGGGTGGGTAGGGGGGCGCTGGAAATGAGGGCCATAGGGTCTGAACGTGTCTCCCCTGCTCAGGGCCAGCCACCACGTTTGTGGTGGATGGAGACAACCCCGAGAGCCGGCTGACAGTGCCGGGCCTCAGTGAGAACGTGCCCTACAAGTTCAAGGTTCAGGCCAAGACCACACGGGGCTTCGGACCAGAACGGGAGGGCATCATCACCATCGAATCCCAGGATGGAGGTAGGGCAAGGCTTCAGACACACCGCAACCCCGCTCTTCCATGGGCCACGCCTCCTCCTGGCGCCATCCACTGACTGGCCTCTCTGCCCACTCTAGGCCCCTTCCCGCAGCTGGGCAGCCACCAGGGGCTCTTCCAGCACTCACTGCCAGGAGAATACAGCAGCGTCACCACCACCCACACCAGCAGTACCAAGCCCTTAATGGGTGAGTAGCCGGCCGGGGCTCCTGGCTCCCTCAGGGGGACTCACAGAGAGGGAGGGACAGAGACCCAGCCAGGGCCCTTCAATGCCTCCTTTCCTGCAGATGGACTGACCCTGGGGTCCCAGCACCTGGAGGTGGGTGGTTCCCTCACACGGCACGTAACTCAGGAGTTTGTAAGTCGGACGCTGACCACCAGCGGGACCCTCAACACACAGGTGGACAACCAGTTCTACCAGACCTGAGCTCCCTGCCCAAACCCTCCTGCTCTCCAAAGTCTCAGCAACTCTACCCCTAGGACTGTGGGGGTGGGGCCAAGACCCCCCCCCGACAAACACACACACATATACACACACAGGCAGCTTCCTCCCTAGAGTGAGCACCTCAGCTGCAGAGCAGGGGCCAGGTGTCTTCTGGTGACATGAAGGGGGCAGAGGCCCTGGAAGCCCCCTTGGTTGCCCACTGCTCCTTTCCACTGTCATCCCTAAACCTGTTTGTAACCAAAGAGTTGGGACTTGCATGCCAAGGAGCCAGCCTTGGTCCTGCACTTAATTAATAAAAGATTTTGCTACTACTCCTTGGCTCTCTGCCCTATCCAGACTTCCAGGGCTAAAGAGGTACCACCTGAGTAGGGGGTGGTTCTGATACCCACCCTCTATGATACCCAAACGCACACACACCTCGAGAGCAGGCAGGACCACAGTCAGAGGCACACGTTTATTGAGCGCCCAGATGTGGTCAGCATGTGCCAGAGGCCAGAGCTGACCTGCAGCCTAGACAGACCCTGTGCCTGCCGTGCGTCCATCTAGGGCAGCATCTCACAAGGGCAGCACCATGGCTCCGTCAGCCGCCTGGGAGAGGTAGAAGGTGGCAGTCCCGCTGTACTGTTCCTGTAGGAGGGATATGAGGGTCTGAGCTATCCCAGCCCCAGCCACTGATGTGTCCTTTGCCCTCTCAGGCCTGGGCACCACCCACCTGAATGTGCTGCATGGTGCGGGATGCCGATGTGGCCTCTAGCAGCGTCACCGTGCAGCCACCAAAGCCGCCCCCAGTCATACGGCTGCCGTAAACCCCGGGTACACACAGTGCAGCCTCCACCAGTTGGTCCAGCTCAGGGCAGCTTACCTCGTAGTCATCCCTGCAATGAGGACATGGAGTGGCCAGCCTGGGATGTGTGGGTCTAGGACAGCCTAGGCCTGGGAGGGACGGATGCCTTACCTGAGCGAATTGTGACTCTCCACCATGAGTCGGCCAAAGGCACGGTAGTCCCCACGGCTCAGGGCATCCGCAGCCTGGGCAGTGCGCCGGATCTCACCCACAACATGCCGCGCCCGCCGAAAACCCTCCTTGCTCACCAGCTCTTTACCAGCTGGGGAGGAAAGGGAGGTAGACGATCCTTTTCCATTGCCCCTGGTTGATCACTTACCTAGTGAAGGGATGTGGCAGGCCCAGGGCTCAAGACCAACCTCCAAGGCAAGCTCTAAGCTCTGGCTCTAAATATGGGTCTGAGTCACAGGTGGAACCCTAAGCAGGTGACTGGGCTCCTTCAAGGTGAAATGGGAAACCTATCCAGCAGGGTGCCTGGCACAGCACAGGTGCTCAACAGTCATTTAAGGCCCAGGCTCTACAAGTGCTTCTAGGGTAGGTGGGACACTGTCCTGCCTCAGGATAGGACAGAAAAGTTCTGACATTACACTGGAGAATCAGTGGAGCCTTGCAGGACCAGGGATATCTGAGGAGACAGTAACAGCCCAGGCTGACTCCTGAGGTTTCAAACAGAAACAAGGGTGAAAAAGGAACAGAAATGGGAGAGTCAGGGCGTTTAGAGGGTTGTGGGACACCCAGGTGGACAGGCAGGACTACACCCTGGAGAACAGGGGCCAGAGATGCGGGTCTGAGGCTTTAGTGGACCAGTGGGAGCTTTTGCTGTATGCCAAGGAGGCAGTCAGGGGGCATATCAGAGCAAATGGAGAAATAAGCAAGTCAATCTGGTTGCTACAGAAAAGTGGGAGGCAATGGGGCCAAGATCATCAGGGTCTGAGTTTAATTCAGTGAGGTTGGTGTTGGGAAGCCAATGGCCAGCCCAGAGCGTGGTGTCATGGGTGAGAGAATTAGGAAATGGGTAAGATGAGGAAGTGGGGGAAACACGGTGGACTCTCCCAGAAGAAAGTGACAGAAAAAAAAGCAGACTTTTAGGAAAGGAAAAAACAGAATGTGTCTCATGACGAAGGCAGCAGAGAAGGGACAAGCAGAGAACAGGAAGGAAGAAGTGCAAGAGGGGGTGGGACTTCTGAGCAGGACTCTGGAAGTGGGGAGCACGCAGAGGAATGAAAAGCATGGGCTGGGGGTTTAGAGGGGAAGCAGCTTGAAAGAATTCAAGTGTGAAAACCTCGGCCAAGGTCATCTGTACAGAGCAAAGAGCAGGCCTGGGAGAAGGTGATATTCACCAAGGGTAGGACAGATGGGCCCTCAGGCTGACCCAAGCTCTAAGCCGATTCCCTCCAGTCAATTTCCACTCAAAACCACCCTATAGGGCAGAGCGGAACTACACCTTAGGGTTTCCGAGACTGTCAGTCTTTATGGGAACAGACTGCCTCATCTTTCTGGTGGGCTCAAATAGCCAGCCTTGAGGTTAGCATCTCAGCACTTAACCCACTACACCACCAGGATCCCTCTGACTGGCTGGTGTCCCTGAGCGGGGCACATCCACAGTGGCAGGGAGGGCGCAACACCCAGAGTGGGCAGTGCCACATGTTGGTTCCTAGTGTGGGCTCGAGCTGGTTGGCCTGAGCTTAAAGCTCATCTCCGCCACTTCCCATAAATTCCCCAGGGATGGACAAGATGTGTACCTGGTCTAGAGAGCTATATGAGAATGAAATAAATTCGTATCCATCAGGCCTTAGAGAATCTTGTCAAATAACTACAACCTTCGTGACCATGTGTAGCAGGAACCTCAGGAATACTGCTATCTTTTAACAATAAGAATCCTACTCCTAGGGGATGAATTGTAAGAAAAGGATGAATGCAGAAAGGATAAAGCCCATCCAAGGACTGGGTGTGATCGCAGCAGATGGCTTATAGTATGGTACCCCTGTATGCTGAAAGATTATATTCCTTAAAAAAAAAATCATGTCAGTGACAAACCTTTCGTAACATAAAAAAAATAATTGAGAAAATGTAAAGTTTTTAAAAAGCCAGGTGGTGGTGGGGCAGAGAGGGGCAGGTGAGAGTATGCATGTACTCAATATGGAACTTTGAGATGTAAGTGAAAGGAAATCTACAATAAGATTTCCACAGTAGCAACTTCTAGGTGATGGCCCTATAGCATATTGTTTTCTTCTTTGTACTTTTTTGTATCTTTCACAATGGAAACCTAATTCTCTTCTCAGAAAAATACCAACAAGATTTCAAGTAGCTCAGCCCTGCTTAGAGTCCTGGGTTTGCAATGTTTGGGAGTAGAGCACAGCAGGTGGTCCCTGGAGGGTCAAGGGCCACACCAAGGCAGAAGTAAGGTCCCCGCCCACCTCCAGGACAGTCCACCTGGCCAGTCTCACCCTCGAGTTCTTCCAGCTGCACCTCCCGGAGGCTTTTCTTGCCCAGTGCCTCGGCCACCTCCTCACACTGGCGCCGCCGCAGCGGATACTCACTGGAGCCCAGTGAGTGTCGGACATTGGAGTTGGTGATGAGCACAGCCAGCTTGGGGTCCAACAGCGGCACCAAGGTTGTCTCCAGGGACCTGAGGTAGAGACGGAATGCGAAGATGGAAAAAACAAGTGTCTGCTTGCCACACTGGACAGTGAACTCACACTGCCTAGGAGCTCCTGATTATGAGGCAGGAGGGGACAAGGGGGGTGGCCCTGACCTGCAGTCAATGAGCAGCGCGTGACCCTTCTGCCCCATCAGAGCGATGAGCTGGTCCATGATGCCACAGGGCACCCCTGCGAAGCTGTGCTCGGCCCGCTGACACACCTGGGCCCTGGCAGCTACTGCCCCTGAGTCTGCGGTACAGAGCGGGGTGGGGTGGGAAAGCTGGGGCCTGGGAGGGACGGGGTAGGAAGGGGGGATAGCAGTAGCTCCAGGGAGATTCCCACCACTTCCTGAAACAGAAGTAGGGGAAGAATTGCTGACCCCAGACCTCAGAAAGAGGGTTGGGTTGGGGGGATGTACCTGGGCAGAGCTGTTGGAGGAAGGTGTATGTAGCCACTTCCAGGGACGCTGAGCTGGAGAGGCCACCCCCCAGGGGCACTGAACTGACCACCACTGCATTGAAGCCAGGGAGGGGGCCAGCTGCAGGGGAAAAAGTGGGTGATGGTGAAAGGGGCTGCCTAGGATGGGTACCAGAAGGGCATGAGGCCTGTCAGAGGTCAGAAACTGCTAAGCCACGGGGCCAACTGCCTCGATCCATCTCCCACCCTCTGTGGTTCCTCAGACATTGTCTTCCTGCTAGTTTAGGGCTCTAGACACCAACAGGCTAGGGCTGGAATCATATAATGAGAAACCTAGGGCATCAATTTCCTCATCTGTAAAATGGGAGCGTAGTGATTATGAGTTGGGCTGCCAACCTCAAGGTCAACAGTTTGTAACTACCAGCTGGTCTGCGAGAGAAAGATGAGGATTTCTGCTCCCATAAAGATTTATAGCCTCAGAAACACTCTACGAGAGCCGATTCCATGGCACACAACCACCACCACTGCCTCCTATGGACTAGATGAGCTAATGAATCACACTACTGAGAGATGGCACAGCTGGCCCATACCTGGATAGTGCTGAATCACCCCCTTGACATAATTGGCCCAACTGGGTGTCCCAGGCTCTAGTGACCGTTGGGCCGTGGGCAGCGGGAACTGCAGCCTCCTGGGCTCATCAGCATCCTCAGAGGTGGTAAGAAGGGAGACAAGTCCATCTGTCCGCGGGCTGCCCAGCATCACAGTCTTAAGTTCCAGTGCCTAGCAGGAGAGGGATTAGCCAATCCAATACTACCCAGTCCAGCCAAGATTGTGAGGGACAGGCTCCACCTTGCCCTGCACTGAACTCCAGATTCAAGGAGTGGATGGGAGTGGTGGGGAAGAGTAGGATACTGAGCTGGCCTTGGGGCTGGAGCCCCGCCTCCTAGGAATTCAGGGGCAGGCCAACAGTGGACTGAGAGCAGGCCTGGACTCTGGACTCTGAAGTAAGCATAGGCTCCAGTCTGTGGGATGAGGAGGAGAGCACAAAGGGAAAGAGGAGAGGAGAAACCCTGTGCCTTCTCATTTGAGGAGAGCCTTGGATGTACTTGCTTGACCTTCACCCAAAATAAAACCAAACTCACTCCAGCCCCGTTTATTCTGACTCATGGTGACCCTGGGAGTGTGGATTTACGACCTAAACAAAATGGAGTCAGTTTAGTCATTAGGTCTCAAACGAGGACCCTGCAAATGACGTTTATAAGTTGGCTAAAATGACCTAATGGTCCTAGAAGGAGAACCAGACAAGAAGACTAGGATGTGCTTAAACCCATCCAGATAATTATCTCAGGAATTAAGCAGCTGAGACCCTAAAGGTAAAATGTTTGAGGAAGTTTATTGATTTATTGCTTTCCTTTCCCAAAGAATGTTATCTTGATGTTAAGATAGATTAAGCGTACATCCAAATGTAACTTACTCTATATAATGTGTCTGCCCTTCATAATGGACAGGACGATCTTGAGAAATGATTCTCTCCGTCCTCCAGACTGCTGGCTTTCTGTTAATAAAGCTTGGATTGGATCTCTCCCCGTCTCTGTGATTGACCACAGTGACAGGCAGCAAACCCTCGATTCGGTTTGGCAACAACCCAACGCTGGCAGTGGGGTGGAAAGAGTCCCAGGGTGAGAAGAAACTTAACTAAAGTTCCCTAAGTGCCGGCTGTGTGACCTTGAGTAGGTCACTCGCCCTCTCTGGGCCTCAGTTTCCAGCTTCGTAAACTGATCCGACTGAATCAGAAGTCTCAGAGCAGGCCAGAGGTCTGGACGCCCATTTCTGCACGGGGAATCCAGCTCACACTTGGAGGCCAGCGTGCTCCCAAGAGAATGATGAGAACACGTAAGTCACAGGGAAACTACAAGGAGAGAAATCTGCACACCCACTCCCAGGCTCCTTCCTCCTGGGTTTCAAGCTGCCTCTCCCCCAAGTGCTCCTCACGCTAACAGGACGAGAAGTTCGGTGCTGCCCGCCCAGCATTCTACAAGGAGGGAATCCGTCTCCGTGAGCCCTGATCATAGCCACATAGATGGCCAGGACAGCAAGCTCTGGGGTCCCTTGCAGCCCCTCACCATGGGCAACACCAGGCCCTGGTTGTAGTCCGTGTGCTCCCCGATGAGGTTGACGCGGCCCGGCGCCGAGACAGCCAGCTCCGGCTCGGCACCGAACTCCTCCCGGAAAGCCCTCCGGGCCTCGATCAGCAGCTCGGCGACTTCGGGCCGACTCGCAGCAGCCATAACGCTCTATAGCCGCGTGCAGCTCGACTCTGGTGGGCCCTGGATGCTTGGGGCGGGGCCACGGCAGCAGGCGACGCACATTCCTGCACGCGCCACCCTCGCTCCCGAGGACACGCCAGCCCTGCGCGCGCGCTTCGTGCCCGACGGAGCGGAGAAGGGGCGGGCAATCTGAACTCGCCTCCTCTCAGACCCCGCCCCACGATCCCAGGTGGCTCCGCCCCCGAGGACTCCTTCCTGTAGGAACCGTTTGCAGAAGGGACTCAATTGCCAGCAGCCTCTGGGATTAGGGTGGGGGGCATTGTGGAGAGGTGGGTAGATTGGGGTCTGCTCAGGAGTTTGCCCAAAGAGTGGGAAACTACATTCAAAAGACAGCTCTGAAAACCGCATTGATTAAGGGTAGGGTGGTCCAGCCGTTATTGTAATGGCTATCAATAATTTGTACCCCTGTTAAAAGTTGAATTGGTTAAGTGGTAATTGCTGTAAGGTACATAGGGTGGGAATCTACACCCACTCCAACGCGGATGAAAGAAGAATGAGGGCTTGGGCCCAGTGTCTTGCTCTGTCCTGCCACATAATGTCTTCTGGATGCCCGCCAGTGGGTATGGCCTTGAGTAGCACTCGGAAGCTTGAGCTGCCCATCTACCGGTCCTAGTAAGTACTCTTGTATATGCCCGTTCCCCACTCGACACCCCCACCCCCAATGCGCACGCGCATGCAGCCAAACTACTAGGACTAGCGTCTAGCGAACCTGGGCTTCCCAAAAGAGTCTTCTAAGACCTGTGGGTAGTGACTAGGGAGTCACTTTCTCACAGGCTCCTTGTCTGGGGTGGACCCATTGTCACAATTGCTAGTAATAGAATTCTGGGGTGACATGACACTGTAGGATAAACACACTGGACTGTTAACAGTGAAGTTGATGGTTCAAACCCATCAGCCGCTCATTGGAAACCCTACACAGAGTCGCTATGTGTCAGGATCTATTCGAAGGAACTATAGCAACAACAAGACTGGTGATACAATGGTTAAGAACTTGGCCGCTTGCAGAAGGATGAGAGGCTGGAATTCACCAGCAGCTTCGGGGAGAAAAAGCCTAGCAATTTGCTCGTGTAAGGATCACAGCCTAGAAAGCACCAAGGGGTTTGAGATCAGGCCTCTGTGACCCTGGCTCCAGGACTGAGGAAACACCTGCTGGGGCCAAGTGCTCAGCCTCCCTTGGCAGCTGCAGTAGGTCCCTGGAGGAGGGACTGGGCTCACTATTGGCTACTGCCACCCACTTTCAGTCTTCCATTGTTAAAAGCTGTGACATGGGTCCACCCCAACATTAAGGGGCAGTTCTGTCCTATAGGGTCTCTGTGGGTCAGCATCAACTCGACAGCACACAGGAAGTCCTCAGGACCATGCAGCTATGACCAACCACCAAGCTCTGACCATGGGTCTTAAAGAGCATGGCCTGCCACTCGGTATAAGTAGAGACAAGGAAGCCTAAGTGTGGCTGTGACCAGGCTCCCTGTCTGGGCTGGACTCATTATTACAGCTTCTTGCAATGGTAGACTGAGAGTGGTCAGTAATGAGCCCAATCCCTCCACCAGGGACCAAAGGACATTGAACATTTGGCCCCAGCAGGTGTTTCCTCGGCCAGGAGCCTTAGTCTCAGAGGCATGGCCTCATGCCCGGAGTTTGCCATTTGTCACCTCTCTTGCCAATCTGTATCCTGAACCTTCAAGGCTGGCCTTAAGCCCTGTCTGGATATCTGTCCATAGCTGCCCACCCAGTATGAAACTTGGAGCTGATACGGCAGAAGGTACTAAAATGTCAACAGCCTCAGGGATTAGGGTGGAGGGTTTGTGGGGAAATGTGTAGCTTAGGGTCTGCTCAGGAGTTTGCCCAAAGAATGGGGAAATGCATTCAAAAAACAGCTCTGAAAACCACACTGATTTAGGGTAGAGTGGTACATCCAATTATTGTAATTTCTGTCAATACATTGTACACCTGTAAAAAGTTGAATTGGCAAAAGTTGTGTGGTATATATATTTACAACAATGACGAGAAAGAAAGGAGTAACTGTGGAGGCTGCTTATGTACAACTAAAAAGTTTACGGGATTTGGTTCCTTGGTTTAGGGTCATGGTTTCATGGGACATACCAGTTAATTGGCCTAATAATGTGGTTACTGCTTCTATTCTACCTCCTACTTTGTTTTGAAGTGACTGGGGTCTTAAAAGCTTGCAAGTGGTCATCCAAGCCACAATAATTGGTCTCTATTCACCTAGATTAAGGAGCTCTGGTAGCGTAGTGCTTACAAATTGGGCTGCTAGCCTCAAGGTCGGCAGTTCAAAACTACCAGCAGTTCTATGGGAGAAAGATGAGGCGTTCTGCTCCCATAAAGATTTACAGCCTCGGAAACCCTGTGCAGGGTCACTCTGAATCGGAACCGATTCCATGGTGCTTAACAACCATAACATTCAACTGGACTACCACTCATTTGTCAGTCTGTCGTGCCATAGTGGCTTATGGGTTGCCGTGATGCTGAAAGCTATGCCACTGGTGTTTTAAATGTCAGCAGGAACATTCATGGTGGACCAGTTTCAACGGAGCTGCCAGACTATACAGACTAGAAGGAAGGAGAGATGGACCATATCTGAATGGTTGTTGTTAATGTTGTGTGCTGTTGAGTCGGTTCCGATTCATAGTAACCCTTTATGGCTTCAAATTGTATCAGATCACTCTTTTTTTCCCCTCTTCTTTCTTCTCCTGGTTGAGTTCTGATCATCCATTCATCTGGGCCAGGTCACGTGGGTACCATCTGCAAGTGTGGGTGTTCTTGTGTGTATGCCATCTCTTCCTATCAGCTGGTAGCTTCACTCTCCACTCTAGTCCTCTGTGGCCACGCCATTGACTCTGGGCCCAGGAGTCCCCAGGTCTCCCCACACTGCTGGCCAACCAGGTCCCCATCTGGGTCCACAGAAGCCCACCGAACATTGTAGGGCTTAGCTTGCCGCTTCATTGCTGTTTTTACCCCATTTCCCCCTAACGGCGATGCGTGTGGTCACCAATCAGAGCATGTATTTCCGTTGAGTCTTAGTCTTGGAAAGGGGTTTGCATTGAGGGGACCCAACCACTTGCCTTGATGTTTCCTGGGCGAACCTTTGACACTATCGCCTGAGATAATCTTTAAACCTTAAATCAAAAATACACTCTGAAATCTTCTTAAAACCAAATAATAGTTTTAGCTTTTCTAGTGAAAAAGGATCTGTCTTAAGTTGTCTTCTATCTTAACTACTCTCTCTGTATATGGGATCAAATGACAATAGCAACTCAGAAGGTTAGATGGGAACCTTAGGAAGCAGTGAATTTATGTAAATAGGGGAAGTAGTAAGTCCTGGTGTGGCACTGCAGGTTAATGCACTGGACTGCAAGGTTGGTTTGAACTGCAAAGTTAGCGGTTCAAGCTCACCAGCCACCCCTCAGAAACCCTAAACAGACTCTAGCATGAGTCAGAACCAACTCTAGGGCATTTAGCAACAACCAGGGGAAGCAGTGAATGTTGGAAGAACAACAGCCTTAGAAGGCAGGATGATGAGACATCATCTCTCTCATACTTTCTGTGACTAAGGGAGTAACAATTCAGGAACAGGAGGGTGAGAATGATTGGATAGCAATGTAATCAGTGTCTCTGAATTGTAAATGTAGGAAACTGTGGCAATTGGTATACACTTTGCTGTGTATATTTTCAAAAACAACAAAATAAAAAATATTTAAAAGGCAGCTCTGAAAACTCCTAGAAGAAAAGATAAGGTTAACTCTTTGTGACCTTGTCCGTTGGTGGTGTTGTTAAGTGTCATTGAGTCAGTTCTGACCCATAGTGACCCCGTGTAGGGTTTCCAAGGAGCAGCTGGTGAGATTGAACCACTGACCTTGTGGTTCAAACTGACTTTGCATAGGTGGTACTTTTTAAAGACAGTATACCAAAACCACAAGCAACAGAAGAAAAATGGATAAAATTATCTTCATCAAAATGAAATACTTTGTGCATCAAAGAACATCATCAAGAAAATGAAAGGATCCCCAGGAAACATCAAGGCAAGTGGTCGGGTCCCCTCAATGCAAACCCCCTTCCAAGACTAAGACTCAATGGAAATACATGCTCTGATTGGTGACCACATGCATCACCGATAGGGGGAAGTGGGGTAAAAGCAGTAATGAAGCGGCAAGCTAAGCCCTTACAATGTTCGGTGGGCTTCTGTGGACCCAGTTGGGGACCTGGTTGGCAAGCAGTGTAAGGAGACCTGGGGACTCTTGGGCCCAGAGTCAGTGGCGTGTCCACGGAGGACTCGAGTGGAGAGTGGAGCTACCGGCTGACGGGAAGAGAGGGCATGTGCACAGGAACACCCACACTTGCAGATGGTACCCACGTGACCTGGACCAGATGACTGGATAATCAGAGCTCAACCAGGAGAAGAAAGAAGAGGAAAAAAAAAAGAGTGATCTGATACAATCTGATGAACTTGACCTACACCTACAGATGTAGTGACTCAAAAGAAGGAACAAATCCTTACGGCAAGAAACATTCCCACCCCCTCCACACACAGAGTTGACAGAGATGGGCAACTTGGACATTGGACACCCCAGTGGCGGGGGGGCGGGGGGGGGAGAGACTACAAAGGCAAGAAGTGACTGGCTTACAAGTTTCAAGAGGGAACCTAGAGCTAGGGGCATGGAGGAAGGCAGAATCTCCAGTGAGTACTATCCAATCTGTCTAGGCGGAGCTGATGAAATGAAATACAGATGGGTAGCTTGTGATACTGTAGCGAATAATGGTTATCAGGACTGATAATGAGGGTTGGAAATGCAAAGGTAGATATTTTGTAGCAAGGAAAGGAGTGATTAATTCTCCAGTCTAGGAGCGGAGGTCTCTAGGACCATCAACGCAGAAGAGCCGAGAGCAGGACCCTACCCAGAGAAACAGAGATGCCTGAGATAGAGACAGAGACGATGACGTGGCGTGATGAAGGGGCTGAGGAC